GTGGCCATTGGCACGTTGTTCGATTCGAAAATGGTGGCCAGTCAGTCGGTCATGAAGTGTAGATTTAGGCACATTAAAAACCTCCGCTGCACGACGAACACTTGGGATTTCGTTGTTTTTTAAAGCAGAGATCGCGAGTTGGATCCTCCCCTCTTGTTCCACCAAGTCTCGAGACGATAGACGCGATTTTGGTGGCATGGTGGTTGTTTGAATAGCTTCAGTATCCTAAACGCGTGGACTTTGGATGGGGTGTCCGGCTCGGTCGGGTGTCCGGTTCGGTTGGGAATTACGTTACATAGTTTGTATTGATGACTAAGTTGCCCCACTCTTAAAAATTTCTCTAAATTTGAAAGATTTTCAATTTCACGTTTCTGTACGTATGAAATAGCTGACGTAAGCGGTATTATATTAACTAGTTAGTTAACTAGTTATCGGCGATAACAAGCTCGATTAAGATCTTACCGGTATTATCTCTGTGTTGTATATTATACCTGGAGTCAATCAACATGGGGGTGTATCGCAACTCTTCCTTCTCCAACCTCTGCATTTCTTGTCTTCAGGCGCAGAGACGCCGGATGTTGTTGGCCTCCAGCAGCAGCGGCTTTGAGGAAGTGCTGCCGCCGGCGTCGGCCGCAACACTGCGGAGGTCGTTTTCCTCAACATCGCTACTTCGACAAGATGGATCGAGCGACAAGGCCCAGTCCCAGGCCCAGCAGAGTACTAACGATGCATCGAATAACCAAACGCAAGAGGAAGGTGCCATGTCGCGGAGACTGGCCGAAATGACCGAAGAAGCCCTACTGGAGGGCGGGCGATCCGCGCGCAAAAGCATTCAGGAGGCGGGGTTCTCGGAGGAGCTGAAGCAGCAATTGGAAGAGAGGGTGAAGGCCAGTGCCTTTAAGAGTGAGAATGCTGCTGCTTTTTCCGTTGCGAATATGCCGGTAAGTAGAAACCCGAAAAAAAATTCCATTCTGTAATGAAGAGAATGGGAAGTTTACTCTCCTGCAGTCCAGCGCAGGCAAAGGAACACGAGACATCGCCGCCGCCTCGCCATGGACAGGGTCCGAAAGCTTCCAAGATACCACCCTTCGCATGCTCGACGATTCCAAAAAGCCGATGCGCGTTCCCTATAAAATCCCCCAACCGACGGCCGCCCCCGTCAACGTCAACCTCAAACCGACGTCGAAAAAGCCCCAATCCACTGGCCATCGTCTGGCTGATGCGCGGGATCGCGCAGCCACATACGCCATGAGCCAGGGTTCCGGGCTCACAGACGAGGAGCGCGAGGCGCTCCGGAAGGAGTTCAGCCAGCGGTTCGAAGCCGGTGCGCGGTCACTGCCCATGACCATCCAGGGGCTGGCCTCCCTTGCGAACGAGCGGATCGAAGACGCCATGGCCCGCGGCCAATTCAAGAACCTGCCCCGGGGCAAGGGCAAGCACGTGGAGAGGGACCACAACGCAAGCAGCGCCTTCATCGACACGACCGAGTACTTCATGAACAAGATCATCCAGAAGCAGGAGATCGTACCGCCGTGGATCGAGAAACAGCAGGAGCTGACCAAAGAGGTGGATCGCTTCCGACAGCGGCTTCGGAGCGAGTGGAGGAGACATGCGGCCCGGCTGATCGCCAGCCAGGGAGGCTCGCTGGAGCAGCAGGTCCGCCGTGCGAAGGCGTACGCCGCGGCAGAGGCTCGGCTGGCATCGTCGAAGCGCGCCCAAGCTGCCATTTCTTCTTCTGATACAGAGTCATCATCATCATTCACACCAATCACCCACGAAGGCCGGTTATCTTCCAGACCAGACCCAGAAGCAAAACCAGAATCACAATCTACGGCCACAGATTCAAACTCGTCCGATGACACTGAGCCCCTCCCCAACCTCCCTCCCCTCCGCGATCCCTCATACCTATCCATCGAACGCGGCTACTACGAGCTGCAGATCAAGACGATCAACGACATGACGCGGTCGTACAACCTGCAAGCGCCGCGTCTGGCCCAGAAGCCGTATCTGAATCTCGAGCGGGAGCTGGACGCCTGCTACGCGGATGTTGCGCCGACGCTAGCGGACGAGATTGTGCGCCGAGCGACGGAGAAGAGAGCGCCGGATTCGAGCGCTCGTGAGGAAAAGAGTTCGGGCTCAGGAGGGGGTATCTTCGATGCCTTGACTGGCAAGCAGCAGGTTCGGGTCTATGAGGAGGATCACTCCAAGACTTACGGGCTGAAAGAGTTTTGGAGAGACCTCTGGGGGAAGAAAGAGGAAAGACACACTAGCTAAGCGAGAGATCAGCAGCTTCGTTGGGTTAGATATCCTTTTTTCGGTATACTACCTACAAGAATGCTTAGACTACAATGATAGCGATCGATCGCCTCTCGATAGCAATACAGAGTAAGATCTTATCCTCCTTGAGGATATTCGAAGCCAACCAGAAAATCAAAAAGAAGCCATAGCAGCAATTCAAGAAGCGTCACCAGAACAGTCTGATCATCGATGAAGAGACGTCAAGCTCCCAAGTCCGGGTCTGAGTCCATCAAGCAATGTATAAAACGAAAGACATGGAAGAGGTTGGATAATATACACCAAGAAAGGCACAATGCAAATGAACCAGGCGTGTGTACCTAGGTAGTAAACTCTACCTAGAAGAGTGATGTCATGAACAAATGGTTCCCCCCTCGTCGAGATGTTCATTCAGTCACACGAGCTCCTGGCATCAACCTAAGAACTCATCCACTTGGTCAACGCATCAAGTTGGATGTCCTCCGCATCAAGCTGACTCTTTAGGCTTTTGCTTGTCGAGCGTCTCGATCGATCACGTCTGGATTGATCTCGTTGAGACTGGCTTTGTAAACTCGGTCGAGGATCCCCTCTAGCGTCTGCCCCAGGATCGGAAACTGATTTCTGATCCTGCGCCGTGGTCGAATGCCGGGGTTCATGGCTGGTCCGGGTGGCCGGGCGCTGGGAATCCAATGAGACCCCTTGTCGAGGAGGATGAGAAGCCGCTTGTTCCTCCCCAGAATGACGCGCTGGCTGTTCATTAGGACCGTGGGAACCTGTAGACGATCTGGCAGTTGTAGGAATGGAAGGATCGTCTGCGGTTATGGAGATGCGTCGCTCTTCATACGCCTTGGCGAGTCGGCATAGTTCAAACCCTACGCACCAAGTTGCCAAGACGATCACAACCCCCCATGCACAATGCATGATGAACATGTATGGGTAGAAGTAGAGGTCCGTGTTGACCCATACGCGAGCATCCTGGGGGAACTTCTGACACAAAAACAACGCCGGCAGCGCAAAAGAGCCGAAAACAGTCAGCGTTGAGCTGACAACTAACGTAGCAAAGCCGATGCCCAGCCAGGTTCTGATCGTGGACTGCCGTCTTCCAATGTCGACGTCAGGTAGAGACTCACAATAGTGACGAACTCGTCTCAGGAGGTTTGGAACTAAACAGCAGCATAATAGGATAAAGAAGAAACAGAGCCAGATAGCCATCAGGGAGTTTGAGGGGAGGTTGGTAAATGGGCCACCCCACAGACGACATGCACACAGTTGTCCGTCGCAAAGGGCGAGTGTTGGAGCGTCCGGTTCCCCCCGTTCGGCCAGCTTGCGGCGTAGTGGGATTATGAACGGATGCCATGGGATCTTGGGCCAGTCACCTTCTGGCCAGCCTGCTTGAGCCATGTCGGAGTCGCCAAAAGGCAGACGGGAGACGATCTCGACGTCACCAAGCCATATTTCGTTGATGGCATTGCCGGGCTCAAAGTAATTCTCCGATCGTACCCCCTGGACGACGGAAGCTTTCTGGCCCATTGGTGAGAAAATGGGTGGGCTCTAAAGGATGATGCTGGGATCAGTGGATCGATGCTCTCTTAGAGACAAGATATGCTATCAGCAATGCAACATAGATAAGCTAGTTAGTAGATGCACAGAAAGAAGAGCTTCGTACGAGCGAGACATTTCAACTATTGCCGGAATGCCGTCGGAAGGTGCACTGTGGCTCCTTCCGCTGAAGACACATCCTGAATGAACTCCGGGAAGGTGCGGGACAGATGACACTCGACGTCGGTTGAACTTCGCAGAAGTTCGTTGATAAGGCATGGCCATATGATTCAGTTGGTTGAAGGGCAATGAAATGAGTTGAATTCAGGCTACAGGTGAAATTGATCCCAGTTTTCTGTTCATTGAGATTTCGAGATGCTGTGAGATCTCGACGTAAGTAGAAGTTGCCTAATAGGTAGGTGCGGAGTCAGACAGCTGTTGCAGACTAGACATCCTTTCGATTAGCAAGTTAGCCGTCATACTCGCAAGTCAGTCCGTCCAGATTGGGCTAGTTTCTACAGATCATTACCTTGTGATGGATGCGTCCTGACTCCTATACTCCAGAGCCACTGTGATACTGAGGAGGTGACCAGACTGCATGTGCAGTGCCAAGCTTCTGCAGCCCCCGCACCGGCCTATCAGAGCGGCGGAGCGGAGGCAGATCATGACCCATGCAGGGCGGGCGCTTAATTCAGGCTAACGCGCTGTCCTGATTGGCTGGGCTGGGACGCTGTTTTAGACGGGACGATTATCTTGCTCTCTGCCCACGGTCAGTGGATGGACTAAAAGGCACCGTTCGTGATTCCCCTCACTAATCCAGGCCTCTCCAATGCAAAGGAAAGGCATCATTCCATGCGAATATGACAATTGCACTGTGTCGTTGCCATTCTTTGAGCGCTATACTGGTATGAAGGCCACAGCAGAGAGGATAGTGGATGACAGATGGTTGAGTCTGCGCAACCGGATGTCCACAAGTATACGGAGTATGAAAACATCCGAAGGCAATGAAATGACAGTGTGACGAGCACAGACCATCCTTTCCAGATCCATTCCTGGGGATTTCTCCTCCACCTCGCCTGCAGGATGGATCATTGGCGGCAGCGCTGCAGAATCCCTGCCTCTGTTCACATCGCCATCAGCCTCGCCCGCCAATCACTCCTCCTCGCTGGCCAGCCAGCCCAGTATGTCACCACCACAGCCTGCCAGACTCGCCGGAGCATATATCTGGAGCGCCCCAGACGATGCAGCTCCGGCTCTTTTTGTAAGAGATTGAGAGGAGGTGCTCGCCCCGTCATCATGCGCTGAGATATATCAATCCCCCCGGGTCACAACATGTCCGTCTGGTCGACTCTGGGGATTCTGTCACTTCTCGTTCTCATCACCGCTGCATTCGAAGCGTCTGCTCATCCGACATCCGTCCATCACGCTGACGGACTCGACAGACCTGTACCCCGTGCAGACCAGTCCGATTCGCAGGACGAATCGAACCTCCCGCTCCAGATTGGCGGGATTGTCGGCAGCTACGTGATCTTTGATGCACTGGTCGTCCTCCTGCTGCTGCTGGTGGGAAGACGACTGAGACGAGCGGTGCATTCCTCGAATTATTCGCTGGACATGGTCATGCTCCAGCCGCCAGCCAAACCGACCGTCAGCACCGATCCAAGCCCTATCTCTGACGCCAGCACAGTATTTCCCAGTCCCGACAAAGCTCGAGGGTGGAATATGTTGTGGAGCAACGTGCCCCGAGGGTCGAAGTCGCACGCGTCCAACCACAGCGCGGCGACTATCGACGAAAGCGTCGTTTCCGCGGATCGACAGAAGGCGCAGGAGGATCTGGAAAGGCTCTATGCAGCGGTCATGGAGTACGATGAGAGAAGAGCAGCTGGTTCTCCTGATCCTGTCGATGAGAATCACAACAAGTCGGTCTCTCCGGTGGGATCGCCGATGCAAAGCCCTCGAGGATTTGCGCAACATCAACAACCGCTGTCTCCTCGGCCAGAGACGACGTCGTCCACGAAAAGCCGCGCAAGCACGAGACTCTCCAAAATCGCGAACCTGTCGATCTTCAGTCCGACGTCATCCATCTCGAACAAACTCCGTTCGCCGCGCCTCAATATCCGAAAGCTGCCCATTTCACCACCCGCGGAAACGTCGCCGTACGTCGAGAACCAGCCATTGACGCCCCGGATCTACAACCCGGGTCCTCCTCCCAGTGCGCCACTGGCACCGACATATTCGACGGACCAGCAGAAAGAGCAGAAAGAGACATTTGTATTGCAGCCGATCAACACGGGCAGCAGCAGCAGAGCAGCCGCTCCTACGCCGCTGAATCTCAACACCACCAACAACAATAACAACAAGACGAATAAAACCGCCGTAAACACCTCCTCAACACTCCCATTCCGCCAGGCCTTCAGCGACAACAACCCGCCACAGAGCGCCCCACCAACCAAGACCACGATCCTGGAGCGGCCGGCGCACCTGTCGAACGCGCCGCGCACGGGCGTCCCGACGCCGTACAGCCCATACCAGCCTTTTACGCCAGTCACGCCCATCACGCCGAGCCGGATGGTGACCAAGCGGGAGAAGCGGCGCCAGGAGAGGCTGAACGGGCTGCGAGTACTGCAGGAGGACGACCTGGTCAAGAGTGATGAGGAGTTGTGGGGGTATTAGTCGATGCTTTTTTTTATTTTCATTCTTTTCACTTTCATTATTTCGTCTTTGTTTCTTTTTTATATACATATACCTATGTATGTAAATACGTACGTATGTAGTAACGGGAAAGGGGAACAGGGAGCAAACAATGCTTATTTTTTTTTCGTTTTATTATTATTATTGTCATCACATTTTTCCAGCAAAAACAAAACCCCTATACGTATGTACATACATATGTACGTAGTTAACTATATATAGTATTACTTATTACTTACTCCTGAATGGAAGAATACCCCTTGTCGTCGTCTTTTTTTTTTTAGAAATAAAGAAAGCATACCTTACCATCCACCATCCTCTGTCGGAGAGCTATTTCCACTCGAGTCCCCGCAGAGGAAGAGAACCTTGGTAGAGAGTAATGGATTAACTGCTTCGGGAAAGAGGACCACTGTGACTGGTATATACTCGAATACATCAGAGTATCAATATAATAATTCGTGCGAGAATATCAATAATCCCTCGCATTTCTTCGTCTATTCCGACTGACCTAAACAATTGAAATGAAAACTCCAGACATGACATGACTGACACCATGCAGAGGAAAATCACTCAAACCGCCGACCAACCATAGAAAACAAAAAAAAACCTGATTTCGTATGTACAGCATACATATATGCAATGAATGAGTATGAATAAAAATTGGGAATAAAATTGGGTATATTGCTCTCGTGCAGACGAAAAAAAAATAAATAAATAAATAAATAAGACGATAAAAAGAAAAAAAACGTTCTACAAAACCGGCGCTTCCCAATAATCCCGCTTGATCTTCATCACGGCCGACTGCTTGTGCGGGAAAGTGACTTCGCCTTCTTTGTAGAAGCCGGCTTCTTGGAGATACTTGATCAATCTAGACGGTATTATGTTAGTATTGATTGATCACGACAAGGTGAGAAGAGTCAGGACAACCTACTTTTCATTGTCAACCCGCGGTTCTAGCATCACCGTCTCCGTCCTCATATCCGCCAGCCAACAGTAATGGACCAGCGCGCTGAGCCAGATCGCCACCCGGTGAGGACCTCGGAATTCCTGCTCTCCCACCAGAAGGTGCAGGCCACGGTCATAATTGCCGACGTTGCCGCCCAGAAGCCGCCCCAATCGGTCTTCCTTGACCCAGTAGATCTCAAAGTATCCAAACGGCTTGCCGTCCCAGCATCCGAACACGGGGAAGCTGTGCCGACTCGTCAGCCCATTCCGAAGGAACGCCTCCTGTTTGGAGCGAGGACCCGCCTCCCCCCACGCCGCATTCACGCGTGGATCGTTCATCCACTTGTGCAGCAGGTCCAGGTCAGACGGCCCCGGAGGCGGGCTATGAGAACGTGGAACCCCGAGAGAAACGGCAGAGGATGGCGAGCGGGAGTGATGCGGGCCCCATGCTTTGGGTGGATTCAGCACGGGCACGCGAAACGAGAGATATTGTCCGACACTGGGGATATATCGCGAATAGAAAGTCTCGCCCTGGTGAGGGGGTCTTGGCCGGATGGGGTGACGAATGCCGTCCGTGAAGGTATACTGCGTGGGTGGCGGAGGATAGTACGTGGGCAGATGGCTGAGCGAGGTGAAAGGCCCTCCCGGGACGCTGGAGGTGTGCAGGTGCAAGACGGACTCATTCGGCGAGACGGCGCCCCCGTCAATATGGCGGAGACTATCTGGACTGGGAGAGGAAGGTCGAGAGTTATATGGCGAGACGCACGGCGACGGGGGATTCGCTACCGGCGAGACGTTGGCCGGGGTCAACGTGAAGATGAAGATGCGCGGATCCAGCTGCCAAAAGCTGCGCCGGCTGGTAAACATGCGCTCCCATCCAGCGGGATTTCGCGACTCAGCCGAGTCGAGGCCAACCGAGGAATCCTCGTTCGCAATCAGGCCCATGCGCTCCAGCTTCTGCATCAGATTCCGGCCCTTGAAGATGCCCTCCCGGATGATGTTCACTCGCCACTCTCCCTTGGGCCTGCCCGCCAGCGGAGTCGCGGCACAAGCCTCGTTCGAGAGGTACAGATTGGGCTCGGGCTCGTGGAAGTACCACCACAGGGTGACCCACAGCATCATGGCGATCTGGCGGGTCTGGGAACTGGGGGGCTTGAAGTCATTGTTGGAGGGGTTGCTGATGGCAGAAATGAAGAGACAATCATTGCGCAAGGTCGGTCGCTTGAAGCGACAAAGATGGACCTTGCGCTCTGGAGCCCCCGGGTCGGGCGGGGACGACCCCGCGGCAGAGGGGAGTTTGTTGGAATCGCAGTCGTCGTAGGGGGAATCATACGATGAACCGGGGCGCTCTAAATCCTCCTCAGGCACCTCAGTGTGGATGACGACGGTCCAGCCGGGGGGAAAGGGCGAATTGTGGATGTTCATGTCGTTGGACTTGAAGGTGACCCCGCCGAAGACGGGCGTCACGCTGTACGTCTGGCCGTTTGGCAGATGACATATCGGGGACGGCATCGTGGAAGACTGCTCAGGAATTGGCCTCCCTGGAGATCACAGACATAAAGAAAAATCAGGACAAGACGCTGGAGAGAAAGATGGGAGTGCAGAAGAAGGGGAGGAACGAGGAATGCGATCGCGTGGTGAGGGCAAAGTATATATATATATTTAGCCCGGTGCGGAGTGACGATAAACAGATGACGGGCCGGAAGACTGTTCTGTCAGCTGTCAGCGCATCGCCTCCGCCAACAACCGACCACGCGACCTCTCTCTCGGTCTGGAAACTGAGAAACCAGGCGAGTCCGCACGGGCATCTGTGGGTATTTATAAATAGCAAGCAGTTGAGAAAAAAAAAGTTTCAAAGCAGAAAAAAAATCACTCAAAAACTAAGACAAGATCATCCGGGTGAGAGACACCCCATGCTGATGCAGATCCTGGCCATAGCATTGTTTCCGGACAATATTCTAGAATTTTTCCTATTTTTTCCCCCTTGCTCACTAGGCTCTTTACTCCAGGTGGGAAAAAGGAATGGGTCCTGGGGTTTTAGTTTCTTCTTGTTTTTTCGATCATGGGGCCAAAAAGGAAAAAAAAAAAGAAACAGGGCCATAGCAGAGTAGTAGATCAGTGGCTTGGATAGTTACGGAGGATTCCGTTTGTAGGGTTGAGCCAGTGGGGGAGGCGGCCCGGTGTGTTGCAGTCAAAGTCGACCGCTTGACGTGGTATCTAGGACCTCGCTTCCAGGATTTTCTCCCCAGTCGCTTGAAACGAATTGAGTAAAACGGCAACAGCTATCTGACAGACTGACACATACGGAGTACCTGGTTAATAGAAAAGAAAATTTTTTTTTCGGTGAATAACCGTGGAGCAACGACCATTGATTGTTTTGGCAATGATTTGAAACCTCTTCTTAATGCGTCCTTTTTTTTTGACAGGGATTGATCTACAGTGTACAGTATATCCCTACCGACATAGGCAGGTGACTGGTAACTGGTAAAGTCTCTGAACAACACCTTCTTGTCCAGGAATTCCCGTGGAAAAAAAGCTCGTCATCGTCAAATGGCAAGAATGTCACCAATTACTGCCGAAATGAGGACGGACAGAAGTGTCTAGACATGCAATCAGCGAACCACAACGGCTATAATTAAGGACTGTCTTTCGGTTGGATTAACTCCAAGGGTTTCAAGTTAAAAAGTGGTTGGTCACAACTGGGAACACCCTCCCAGTAGTCTGGTCTTTTAGTATGAAGCTCGAATCTTTTTTGCATTGCGTTGTAGCTGCTACTGAGCTAATTCCTAAGGTGTGGCTCTCATAACCTAACACAATCAATGTGCCAGGTATAATGGCCTGTCCACAACTGGCAGCAAGGCATGGCCATTACACCATTATACCAACCATCACCACCACCATGGCAGACCGGCCAACCCTTCTTCTCAACGCAGTGCTTTCAAGGCCTCGGCTCCATTTAAGCCTCCCGGCTCAGGATATCCGAGTCACCCGCATCGAGCACAGCCATGGCGGAACACCGGAACAGCTTACCGCAAGCCGTTCCAAGCTCGATCTGTGGAAAAAAAAGGATATACCGTTAGCCAATTCGCTCTCCAGGATCCCCTTTTACCAGGGATCCCTTCTCTGAGCAACATCCGCTCTCCAAAGTCGCTTCAAAGCAAAAGCAACTTCTTCTCAGAGCAACGGAGCTGCCTCCCAGGTCGATGCACACGACATCTAGGGGTTCTTTGAGGGGGATGCCAATGGGTCAGGTACATACATTGTTGCCGTTGAAGTGGTGCACAGGCGTCTTAGCGAGCTGGGAGACCCAAAGTTAGTATCCTCCTCTATCTGATGGTCGTATTGTCGTATAATCAAAGACGAACCATAGCATAGTCTGTTTCACAATTAGCCTGTGCTTCTCAATCAAAAAAGAGAAAGATGGAGGGGTTTGCGGTTCTATCCACGGCACTTACACTCGAGCTCGGACTTGCGCAGCGGAGGGCAGTTTCCGGCAATCAGGATGAGCTTGGCCTTGCCGGAGCGAAGAGACTTCAGCGTGGACTTCGTTCCCATTGTCACTAGAAGACGGCAAGAAAAAAGGTCAGTGGCTCGCTCGTTTGAGACTTTGCGACCGACACAAGAAACTCACCTTTGCCCGACTTCATGACAAGGGCGAGACGCGACGAGATAGTGTCGCCGGCCTTCTTCGCTTTAGCCATTGTTGCGAATGTGCTCTTGAGTGCTCGAGGGAAAAACTGGGCGGGTGCGTGTGAAAGGTTGGCGGTCCGACGTTGAAAAGAGCCGAAGTTGAGAAGATGGAAAATTGCTGCGATATAATATTACCGAAATAATTTGTGTGCGCTGCTGACTAAGGGTAAGGCTAGTCCGGATAAGGCCTAGCCTTGAGATCATGTGTGTGGGGCTATGGGAATTAGTCGTGTGATCCGAATGGAGTAATTCCTGTTACAACTTTTTACGTGCTCTTCTTGCTTTGTATAATTTGTAATAAGTGACCTGTCATTAGTTAACTACCTACCCATATTTCTGTTCACATTCTACCTTCATAGTAGTTGCAAGAGACCAAGACAAGGATCTGGAACTAGCAGCCAGCCATCCGCAAAAATCCTGTTTGAGTCACACTACGCACGTGAACTCCTTCATCCCAGCGACCTGAGTTGGCACAACAGTAGTGTCCGGGAGAATCAATTACAGAGTACTGTAGAAAAGATAACTAATGACTTTTCCACAAAAAAAATATTGATCGTAATGCCAATTCTCATTGTCACTATTAATTGTTGTAGTAGATCGAACGTACCGTACGCCTTCCCTTCCCAACACACATAATAATTATGCCAATCCCAGATTATTATTATGGCAGCAGGGTAACCAAACATCAAAGATATCCAGAACCACAGCAGGACACACACAGAAATATCCATGGAAAAAGACATAAACAAAAGAAATGCTCTGGCGTAAATAACGACGATGCCCTGCCCAAAGCTATGATGCAAAGAAACAAAGAGATGCCAGTACATAGGGTAAGTGAAATAGGATAGAAAGGCCGAATATGGAAAAGATGCAGTCCAGTAAAAAAGGAAAATACAGGAGGAGAAAATGAGAAGCTCCCAGATGGTATGCGCCGTATGCACTGCTGGGGGAAATTCAGAAAGACGGGGTAACCGGGAAAAGAGATGCGGTCGTCAAATAGCATGGCCAGCATTCCGATGTCTAGTCATGTCTGTTCCATTTCAACCAATCCCTAGTCCCTGCCACCATGCCGACTAACTCCGTGGAACCAATTCCCTGAACCAGAAACAGGGATGACATAAAAACACAAAAAAAGAAAATGTGGCTGAGGCCAGCTCAGGCCGGATTTTGAGTCATGGTATATGGTCGGAACGTTCTGTTTTGTTTCTTCTGCTTTCTTTCTTTCTTTTTTTCCCCCCCCCCTTCTCAATTGCAATGGAGCTGCGGTCTAAGCCAAAGGTCGAGCGATGCGACCGCCCATGTATGCCCCAGCAGCAGAAGCAAAAAACCTTGCTACCAAGCCGCCGCCACTGCCCCCCATATTGCTGGTCGTCTTGATCTTTTTACTGGGTTGTGTGGTCGTGGAACTGACCATGGCCGGCTGCTGCTTTGCCTGAGGATGGAGTGCGGGGATGTTGACATAGCTGTAACTCAGCGCTGAGCTCGCCGGGCTGGCGTTTTCATCCGCCACAACGACGTCGTCCCCGGGAGCAGAGGAACAGGTGCTGACGCTGGCGGGTGTGCTCCGCGAGCTCGGAGCTTGGCTCGAAGAACGGGACGAAGGGGCCAATGAGTTCTGTGTGTCTGCGCGAGTTAAGCCGGGGACATCTTTGACCGAAGGAGGGGAAGTAGACCGATTGCTGCTCCGATATGGCGACGTGCGTCGGCGATGATAAGGGCTGTAGCGCTCGACATCATCGGAAACCGACATGGACGAGTCGTGACTGCCCGCATTGGACGGGAGATGGTTGTGTTGGTGACGTCTCTGGGGAGCGCCATCATGATGAGCCCGTCGAATGTCGCCTCGCATCTCCTGCTTCTGACGGCGCAGGCGAGCGGCCAGGGCTTCTGCAGAGGCGTTGAGACGCCACCATTCATGTTGTAGAGGGTTCAGTGCATCGTGCGGCTCGGGCATCTCGTATTTCTTGCGGATCGGAGCCAGGAAGGGCTCGAAATGCTCAAAAAGGTCCTTCTCTGTAACCCGGGTATCCCAGTCGAGAAGGAAGAGGAGCTGGCGTTCCATGAGATTGACCTCGGCCAACGAGAACCCGAAGCCATCGTATCCTCTCACGGCAGTATACCGTGCCCAGTGCTTGTTCTTGGGACTGGAGTCGTTCAAGTTCTTGGCAGCCAGGATCAGAGAGGCCAGGAAGATGCGGTGAACGGTACAACGCATGCCCTTGGCGACAGGGGGCAGGCGAGCACGTAACCGGGCGAGGTAGACCAGCGAAGTCATCAGAGTCGGCACCTGCACTTGTGATCGGTGGACGAGAGAGGCGATGAAGGTCTCCAGCGGAGGGAGAGGCGGCAAGTTGTCGGAGCCGTCCAAGGGGGGAGTGCTGGGAGGAGTCGGCTGCCCATGTTGATGGACGGCTGATGTGGTCACATGGTTCTCGCAGCGGATGACCTTGGAGGCCTGCTGGGCGAGATGCGAGATCATGTCCCGCGAGACGGGACGCATCACGAACTCGTTCAGAGCAGCCCGGTTCAGGGACTCCATCCTAGAATCCGTCTGATCGAACACGATGCTGGGTAGGGCTTCGAGAGCAGAGAGGATGAATTGGAATTTGCCCTATCAAATTCCGCCTAGCGGAAGAGGTAACAAATCAGATTAGAAGAAGAATGGGAGGAAACCAGAGTGTCTCCCGTCTGCAATTTCGTTCTTTCTCCGTGATGAAAAAAAGGGCGAAGTGGTGAATGAATAATAAAGGCGTTGTAGTAAACAATCGTCTGTTCGGTTGCCTCGCCGAAAGCCGTGCAAGACCGAAAGGGAAGAGGGCAACTTGAGACCACGCCGGGTTTGCTGCGAGAACCCGCCCAGCAAAGCAATCCGACGTCGTTCAAGAATGCTGCAAGGATAGCTGGGGTTGTCGTGTCAACAGAGACGGCGGTGGGTTGCCTATTTAAACGAGCTTATCGATAGATCGATCTCTCTGCGGTGATCGTCCCAGCCACACGCCCCAGTTTGCCTCTCGGGTTTTGGGGGTGGATTCCGTTGCGACGGATCGACTCGGCGCCCTTTTTTGGAAAATGACGGCACAATTGGGCTTGGGGCAGGTCTTAGATCAGAGACCGTGGGGGCGGAGGGTCGATATACCGGACGGTGGCTTTTTCACGACAAAAACAATGATCTAATTAATGGTATGGTATTATAATGAATGCCAGCACAAGGAAAGACAAACTGCCAAAGAGAGCGAAAACAGATTACACGGAACCCGGGAGTCGTTTATAACACAGCAACGACCAAGCTGGAGAACGCCCGACTGCGAGTGCGCGGTGCATGTGGATGAGCCTCGTGAAAAAATGCGAGGCCCATGGGCCGATAGTTATATGTACAAAGCCTTCATCGCACAGCGACTGTCTACACAGTCCACAGGGCCTGCCCAATCCAGGGTGGGCGGTTGGTGGCTGTCCGCCAGCGCTGCAAGGAAGCCTGGCGACCAGTTATCGGCTGTGGGGAGACAGGACGCCAGATGGGCCGCCGCAGGGGGCTGCATACCTGTGCCCTGGAGCCGCCCATCTCGGGCGAGCGTGTCGAGCAGCGTCGTAGCGCGCGATTCGGATCCAGGAACTCGCACGGCGACGCTGGGCAGCGATTCGCGGTCCAAGAATGGAATGCTTCATCGGGGAGGACGAGGGGCGTCAAGCCGTTTCAAGGACCAGCGCAGGAAACAGACGACAGCCAAGAGACGACAGGACAGAGGAAGCACTGGGACGAGCCCATGTCGAGCCCGTCGGAGTGCTGCGTTGCGTTTCGCCCAAGCGGCATGCCTGACCAGGCGAGATGGAGAGCTGAGAAGTGGCCGCCGCAGCCAATCGCCGGCGGCCGGCGGCAGTCATCCGCGACAGCCAGGCGACCGCATTCTCACGACGCCGTCATGCGAGGAGACGCTGTGGCTAGTGAGTCCAAGAGAAAGGGTAAGTTGCTGTTCCCCAGCTTGTCGCTGGATTACTACTCCTATTGAGTCCACAGGACGTCACCGTCTGCTTCCCCTCCATACCAGCCCTGGCAGTTCCATGGCCGATGAACCGTCCCTACAACACGAACCGCTGTCTCCTTTCGCCCTGGTTACGACGGAGTACAGAGTCCTGTCTTCAGAAATTTCTCTGCCTAGCATCGCCCACGATGATGACTCGGCATGGTGGCTTGGCCTCCACTGAACACGCACTCCTCAGCACCTCCTGACGTATTCTCAGCTGCCAACTACTTTTTCCATAACATTCATCTATTAATCCCTCGTTATTCCTTCTAACACTGTCGAGTCAGTCCGCACTGTCTGCTCAACAATACGCAAGGCTGTCTTGTCTGTACTTGGTTCGACTACCAAGCCACAGTCCGCTCGGCCCCCAACTAGATAAACTCTTCCGCGTTGAGCGACGCAACAAATGAGAGCGCTGGTAAAAAAGGAAGTACGGGCTGGGGTCACATCGACACTGTCAATCGCAGATGGTTATCGCCCCTTGTCCCAGTACTAACTACTAAGTATGGAGCTCTAGCATCTAGGTTTGTCCTGTACGAAAAATTTTCATCGTCCAAACCCCTCATACAACCCAGCGTTTGAACCTGGGGATATACCAGAGCGGTTTTTAAGACATGTGGGTAGTAGATCCATTTACTTGTTTAGTCGGATCCCTCGATCGGTAGTAGGGGCTAAACGACACCCAATAGCTCCGTGTCTTTCTCGAAGCATTTAAACAAGTCAGCATACGGTGTCTCCCCAGAGGAGCTTGGTGGAGCGTCTTTTTCACCGCCCGTCGTTTTCTTCGCACAGAGGATGCAACAATCTTAACCGACTTGAGTTCCGATCTGGGCCTGTCTCGATCTATAAACAGCAACAACGAATCCATAGCTAATCTACGATCTACGGAGTAAAAAATATCTCACGTTGGCCAGGATCTAAAAATGACAGCAACCCCAACCTGTGCGTGTCCGATCACTGAGCTCCCCTGTGCGACAGGCGCCAACAGAAACGTCCGTTTGCTGCTTCTCAAGCGATCACTGGCGAGCGGCGGGTGTAAGCGCCCGCCAACAAGGATGACAGGCAGGGGTCAGCGCTACTGATGGATCTTGCGTCGGACTCCGATCCCCTGCAGCGCTTACGGAACCGCGCAAGATGGTGCCTGACCCACTCTGAGTTTCCTCCCTAGGGCTGTTCTTGACGCCGCAGCTCTCTCTTATTTAGAGAGTGCTATTCTTAGCAGCTATTCTGGGGACGATGACGTGGTGTGTAATACGTAAAACTCTAGCTGTTCCTGTCCTTCGTACGCTGTATATAAAACAGATACCTAACTTTAAAAATTCTCCATCGCGGAGTTACCGAGTCAGAACACAACAATACAGGAAGTAAAACAGGAACATGGGGACCTCAGCGTATCGCCCTCGTGTCCCTTCATTCTCCTTTTATTGTGTCGAGAGAGAGCGCATTCAACCTTGCTTCAGCTAGTTGACAGAAATTCAAAACTTGAATCAGATTGGCTGGTTGTTGCCCGGTTCCAGTGACTGCCTACGGAGTACGATGTCATGGATCACGGGACCTTACATTCCACCTCCGTCAATCTTCTTCACTCATATCTCTGCAAGTGGTAGAAGTGATACCAGAAAAGCTTGTTTAATAAAACAACTGTCACCTCTCATCCTTCAATGAGATGTCTGGCAACCTGCGCAGAATGCGCCAATACAGGAAGCCCACCAATTGAGGAGCAGCGGCTCCAAAGAAGGGACCAAGTCAGATATCTGCACAAGCTCTGTTCAATACAATTAGTCGCACCATTTCTGAAGCCTCAGAGAGCACTGTTTTTAACCTATAAAAACATTGATCCCCAAACTGGCTGCAATCATTGCACGTTCATTGGACCAAGATGAGACAGTGGAAAGATTCGCCCTAGGAGAGTTTATAATAGCACTTGAAGCTCTTTGACTAATATTCCTAATTAGAATTCATTACAATTCAGTAGTAGCTGGAGTCTTGGAAATTGTGGTTATACCAACTTAAGTATGTACATGGTTGTCACAAGGACTGGACATTAGAAGAGGTGGGTAGGGCAAATAGCACAGGCTTTTTTTTTAATGCCAAGAGCGTCATTTCTATGAAAGTATGCTGGATAAGCACCTCTTGATTACCTCATAGTACATTGCTGTATAACTACTACCTAAAGTATTAGCTTATGCATGTACTCCCTACTAGGTACTCCGTACCTCGGTCAGAGTCTCAGTCTGACACTGTCAGCATGACTTCACTGCGGCGTCTCCGTGGGCAGTGAACACATACACACCAATCAATAATCATAACGTGTTCAATTCGATCCTACTGTCTATCAGTGCAGTTAAGACTGTACTAGTACCAAGGCACTTGGTACTAGGTACTAGATACTTCTGCAATAGAAGGCGAAAAAAACCCCACACTATCTGTCTTGAATGTCTTGTCAAGGGACAATTGATTCTCTGTCTCCTCTACTCACGCCCTTTGTGGATGATCCTTGATTCCGTTCCAAGAGTCAAGATGTTAAATTACTTGATTTATTTCAGGTAATCCGACGTCCTGCGGTACTGTACTGGGACAGTCCTTACTCGGAGCATTCCATACGAATAGAAGGGATTAAACACTGTCCTTTGCAGGGTTATGTAGATTATGTAGTATTTTTCCCGCATTATTGTAGGGACACTGGAGTACATACTGTCTACTGCAGGGGTACTGTCGTAGGGGCAGTTGAGAATATCTATTATCCCTCCGATCCTAGCAGGAGAGCAAAAAAAAGGGTCTTTCGCCCTACATTTCCAGGAGTCGGCAGTCATTAATTGTAAAGGGGGAAGAAATGAATTAGAAAACCCCTTTCTAAATTCAATAAGATCTCAGAAGACAGGGCATGGGTTCTCTATTATCTCTTTCAACCTCTTTTTTTTCTTCGTATTCTTATTCGTTTTCTTATGTTGTACAATGGTAGGCGATGCTGAATCTATTCCTCCGGTTGGTGCTGCCGCGCCCCGGACGAACCGGCGAGGAAACTAACCTTAGCGGGGAAATACCCCTGAGCCTGACTTCCCCGAATTTTATTTCGAATATTTGCGGCTTGTCTTACAGCGTCGCATCAAGTCGTTCGTTTTGTTTCTCAAACCCACCCCCACATACAACTCTTATTCATCCTGAAAAAGTCGACTGCGTCGACTAGTCGGCTTCAATGGCTTCTCAAAAAAATACCAATGCGTCGTCGCGGTCGGCGGCTGGCTTCTCGATCCTCACCATCCTCGCCCTAGTCCTGGCGCTCCTCACTGCCTTGTTCGTTTATCTCGATAAACACCTCGAATGGTTCTACATCTTCGAGCCTGCGCATCTGCATGACCTGGCCCAGCGTGCCATTGCCGCCCATGGAAACGATACCCGTTCCGTGGTCAACTACATCGTCCAGGAACTGGACCAGAAATTGTCCGGCAAGTACCTGAACTTCGACGAAGAGTGGGTTTTCAACAATGCCGGTGGTGCAATGGGCGCCATGTACATCATTCATGCAAGTAAGTTGGATCTCCGTCTCCTGTGTCCTGCATCGACAGTGAAGGTGGGACGACTAGTTACTGTTGGAGAGATAGTTGCTAAGTGAGAAAACCAATAGGCATTACGGAATATCTGATTATCTTCGGTTGGTAGACCCTCATCGGTTCTCTCCTTTCATGCACCTGCTAAACCCAGTATAGGAACCGCAATTGGTACCGAAGGACACACCGGCCGCCACACTGCCGACGACTATTTCCACATCCTGCAGGGCACCCAGCTCGCCTATACCCCGGGATCCTACGAACCGGAGGTGTACCCACAGGGAAGCGTGCATCACCTGCCCCGCGGCGAGGTCAAGCAATACAAGATGGAGAGTTCCTGCTTCGCTCTCGAGTATGCCCGGGGATGGATCCCCCCGATGCTGGGCTTTGGCTATGCGGACACCTTTACGAGCACCCTCGACTTCCCTACCCTCTGGGCGACTACAAGAATCACCGCCAGGGAGATGATTGGGAACTTGCTCCAGGGCAAGCTGTAAAAAAAGTGACTTTTTATCCAGCAGTGCTTACGAATGGAATTTAAGCTGTCGGAGCGGAAGGATGTGCATACTGCCGGCATCTCGCGCGCATATGCGTCTCCTCCGTCTTGCATGACTGGAATGTGAGCTATATGCATGCTGACAACTTTAATCTCGTTTTTGGGATAGGGTGCGGGACAAATTTCTTTTCGGGTAATCAGAACGATTGTCTCAATTGTTTCTCGGGGAACCATACTACTATCTACCGTTGCCGAAGAAATGGGCAAGAATGTGTGTGGCGTGCAGATGCATAACGTCGGATCTATCTACATCGTGATGGCTTGCTTATGCTTATGGTTATGCACTGCGGAAAGCGTCTTTTTTTATTTTCCCCGGCTGCTCGAGGCAAGGGGGGTTTCGGATGTCTTGCAACCAACTTTGAACATTGTTTATTGAGAACGTGTATAGATACTAACCTATATATGTAATGTACTTAACCAATGGACTAAGTCATTTATCCTGTACCCTTTCTATCTATCTATGCTATATATCTTGGCGTCAATAAATGTCTTATGTTGTCCACCGCTGACTGGAGTGGAGAGTGGCAGTTGCATATTTATTCCACTAGTTGTGTCAGTCGATCATCATCTTTCTTTCTGGTCATAGCGAGACTATTCAATCGAATTGTCTCTCTTTAGTCCCGATCGAGTCTAGCATATAAATGAAGAATGAAGTGGCTACAGCAGATAATTCGGAATTATTGATGTTTATACAGAGTATTGCTGTTTATCGGACGTAGAATGGATGATCTTATGTCAGCCTGCTGAGATAAGCCGTGCACGGACCATCCCGATGTATCATGCGGCGGCGTTGTTGGCGGGGAAGAAAAGCGCGAGGAGGGGAAAAGAAAAAAAAAGAGCAACAATACAGCATCGTACAGCGTCTGGACAAACATCATGCCTCCGACGCTGTGTTTCGCCTGCCAGACGGCCAGGGCGGTCATTATCCGGCCGAAGAACCGACACAAGCTCTGCAAGGCGTGCTTCCTGGAGATCTTCGAGACCGAGATCCACGAGACCATCACCTCCGCGAAGCTCTTCTACCCGGGCGAACGGGTCGCGATCGGGGCCAGCGGGGGCAAAGACAGCACGGTGCTGGCCTCGGTGCTCAAGACGCTGAATGAGCGGTACAACTATGGCCTGGAGCTGGTGCTGCTGTCCATCGACGAGGGCATCAAAGGGTACCGCGACGACAGTCTGGAGACGGTGAAGCGCAACGCGGTGCAGTACAACATGCCGCTCGAGATCGTCGGCTACGACGAGCTGTACGGATGGACGATGGACCAGGTGGTCGCGCAGGTCGGCAAGAAGAACAACTGCACCTACTGCGGCGTGTTTCGGCGGCAGGCGCTCGACCGCGGCGCCGCCCGTCTGGGCATCAAGCATGTCGTGACGGGCCACAACGCCGACGACGTGGCGGAAACGGTCATGATGAACCTGCTGCGCGGGGATCTGCCCCGGCTGTCGCGAGGCACCAGCATCGTCACGGACTCGGTGGCGACGGAGATCAAGCGGAGCAAGCCGCTCAAGTACGCGTACGAGAAGGAGATCGTGCTGTATGCGCACCACAAGAAGCTGGACTACTTCAGCACCGAGTGCATCTACTCCCCCGAGGCCTTCCGGGGTAGCGCCCGGACTTTGATCAAGGACCTCGAGAAGATCCGCCCCAGTTCCATCCTCGATATCGTCAAGAGCGGAGAGGACCTGGCCCTTCTGGTTCCTCCGGAGATCAGCAATAGCGGGAAGCTTGTGCCGGCATCGACAGAGGCAGACGACTACACAGCGGGAGGTTGTGGCAGTCAGAACGGCAGATCCAGCGGGGGAGAGATGGCGGAGATGGAGAAGAAACTGGCGGAAGACGAGGCGGCGCAGAGTAGAGAGACAGAGATCACTCTACCACGGGAGGACATTTCTTCTTCTCCTTCCACTGCAGCCGTCCCTCTCAGGAAGAAGAACAACAAGAAGGCAGCTAGTCAACAGCCAACAAAGAAGAAACCACTGAAGCTGCAGACACTCCAGAAATGCGAGCGATGCGGATACATTTCGAGCCAGAAGATCTGCAAAGCCTGCGAGCTTTTGGAGGGGCTGAACAAGAACCGACCCAAGACCGCCATCGAAGTGGTTGGGGTCGAGGAAGAGGAGAGCAGCACGACGCTTATGAGGCAGATGGAGAGTGTTCAGTTGAGTAGTGGATGAGAGCAGTCTTTGAAGCAGTACCCGTCAGAAAACACTTGCTGCTACTTATTGTGACTCGCCTGCTCGTGAATTACAAAACCAAGGCGGAGCTGGGTCGGAGGATCTGTCAAAAAGGTCCAGGAGTTCGCGCTCAGCAGACATCAGTTGACTCCGAAACGGCCGACCCGTCGTGACGACTCAGGTCTATCTCCAGTGCGAGACGGAGAAAACATTCGAATCTCCCTCCATCCTGGACCAAGATATGGGAGGTAACCACCTTATCGATGGAAATCATTCTCCACAGTCGGAGCCACCCCATCCTAAAGTCAGGCATAGATAGCCCCAAACCTTTTTTGGGATGTGCCAAACATGCATATCTACTACTAGTCAACGGACCTTGCAGCAGAATTATATACCTACTATACAGTTGCCGCTGGCTGGGTAGGTAGACAGCAACGAGATAGGGACAGACTATTACTTACCTGATACAAAAAAAAAGAGAGAGAAGATGACAAGACGGCCTAGAGACACAGATAGATAGAAAGATAGATAAAAGATATAGACGGAAATCATGCCAAAATATTTATATTCCACATAGATGGATTCTAGATGCTAGCATAGCATATTTTTTATTGTACAGTACATACATCGATTGTACACAATATATACAGTCTAGGCGATTCCCAGAAACACAAACTCCATCCCGATCCTGATGCCATTCCCATTCCAAGAAAAAAAGTCAATATTTCCAACCCAGGTTTGTTGTCAACTTGTTGTGTATTCTATTCTATATCTCCGATAAGTTGACGGCAAGCAGCAGCCCGGGAAAGATTGCCGCACGGGTACAGGTGCATGTACCTATCCGTCAACAGCATCACTGTCTGTAGCCTGTTGACGTATCTGCTGACTGACTGCATCATGGATGAATGAATAAATTAATAGAATAGCGGGGAAGAATCATGTCAGAGAGAGGAGGCTGGTAGGTTCACATCTGTCAGGATAGGGTAGAAAGAGGGAGGAAGGGAGGGTATCTTCTGCTGGTGGTGCTTCCAAACCCTGTCGCTATGCTGTTCGACGAGCCCGTCCGCTGGAACTGATTCATGGAGGTCGCAACAGTGTTGTTGTTGTTGTTGTCAAGCGACGTCGGGACCGGACACGGCGCGTATGTATGCATCATAAAACGTGGAACGAATGGTGAAGGGAGGAAAAGCTTGACCTGCCATTCGTCATCTTCCTCGTTCTCGCTTGGTCGGTCGTTCGCTGAGGGGGAAAAAGACCCCTTTTTTTTCCCCCTCCCCCGATGAGACAGACGATTCCTCCCTCACCCTCTTGGATAGATAGATATACTTCAATCATTCCCCGTCATCGTCTTCTTCCCCTCCTACCCAACCAAGCTAAGCCTCACTCAATCTCATCTCATCTCACTGATTGCTGCCGCTGCTGCCGCTGCTACTGCTGCCATTCTCACCATTCTCATTCACGACCGGCAAATCCATCCCCACCCGTCTCGCCGTCAACCGGATCCTCTCCTGCTCATCGAGATTGATCCCCGGATAGTACCGGTCCAGCAGCGTCGTGTACATGCGTTGGGCCTGCGCGTACCGGACAAACTGCTCCGTCTCTTGCAGCCGGCGGTGGAGGAGCTTCTCTTCTTCTTGGGATGAACCGGTGAAGGAGGAGCGGAATTCGCTGCGCAGTCGTTGCTTGAGCGGTGAGGGGGACGAGAGCGGGCGGCGAGGGAGTTCGCGGAGGATTGCGCGGTATAGGGATCGGGCTTGGGAGGCGAGGGGTTCGGTGGTTGTAGCCATTTCGTTGTTTTTTCTTTGGTCTCTTTGTACGGAGTACTCTTTATTTTTCTTTTTGAACGGTTACCGCGTTCGCAGAGACCGAAGAATGGAAGTAGATTTGATTGAGATGATTGGAGAAAGTGAGAGAAGTGTAGGTAAGTAAGTAGGTATAACTTCCTAGGTAAGTTGGAAAATAAATTCCTTGAACAGTAGTAGTACAGTAGGTACCTTACTCCGTACAATAATGTTGTTCCTCCCGTTCCGGACAAGGTTAGTCATGTGACTGGAGTTCCTCTCCGCCAGCAATTCTACTGTAGATAAATATTACACCTCTAACAATAAGGATTTGATGGTGAAGATATCAGACAGTGTTTGGATACATTCTGGTCTTCTAAACATCGTTTTCCGGTACTTGTCAAGCTAGAATGCTGAATAAATATACCTAAACTGATACCGTCTACTTGCTATATATATACCCGCGTTCTTCCTCCCATTCCATTCCATCCCTTTCCTTTCAGAAATACCAACATGACTTGCGCTGAATGAGAAAGGAAAAAAAAAGCACTTTTATATTAACGATCCTTGTCGAGACCAAGATCTCGGGATAAATACAACGCGAATACAACGCGACCAAGGTCAGACTATATACAGGACTCTCAAGGGGGAAAAAAAATAAACAAAACAATCAGTAATATCTGTAATAAATCACATCAGGCTTCCACATGGTCAGCAAAATCATCCATTTATTCATCATGAAAGACATCGCAGCAACAACAACAACAACAACAGGGGTATTAGTGGTCATTACGAAACTAAGCGGATAAAGCCAAACGAGCACTGTACGTCAGAATTTTTTTTTTAGAGAAAGTAGCAACTACCCCCAAGGGCAGCACGAGGCGAACAGTCAGCCTGCTAGGTCCGCAACCATCCAAACTTCTTGCGTCCTGGATCTACACCAGCTGCAGAAGGCTCTACCTGCATGCTCCGCATGTACAGGTCCTGCAAAGATATCAGCCCATGTCCACATAATGACACAATGCAAGAATCGGGCACAAACCTCTTCGTCACGCATCTTGGTATCCAGCACCAGTCGTTGGACTTCCTCGTTTTTCTGGATGTAAGGATACGGCGTCCTTTGGCTGCGTTGGATCTCAAGAACCACATCCCCCATAATCTCGAACTTCTTCCAGTTTATCCGATCCTTGTTGTCGCCAATGAACGTCTTGTTGCCTTCTTCGGCTGACACGAGATCGCGTCGATGTAGAGGAAGAAACGGGATTCGTTCCCCGAAAGAATTCTCCCATGCCAGGCGGTAAGCAAAGTGGCTTTTCTGAGTACCCATCAGAATTAAAAGCCTCATGAACTCCTTTTGTACAGAAGGTGGGATCAGTTCCCTGGTCTGAGTCAGCCGCTGGACCGGTGTGCCGTTGATGCCGGCAATGACCGCGCCCAAGGAGTTGTAATTATTCTGCCGGCGGAGTTTCTGGAACAAATACCCACAGTCAGATCAATGTCTCACCAACCAGCAAGTCTCCACTAGCCAAATGTGCTACTCACCTGGGCTATGTTCATAAATTTCTCCATGGCCCGAGCTCGGTGCTTGGGCTTGTCCCGAAGCAGAATCATGCTAGCCACAAAGAAGGCCAGATGGTTGAATTCCTTGATCATTCGATTCACATTCGCCAGGCTCTTAATCTTGTCCTTCTCCGGTCCCGATATGCTGACATGACGGACGAGGTCTCGAGGCCTGAAAGAACTGAACATGATCCAGTCCATCCGAGTCAACTCTCGAGCGAAATCGTCCTCTGGGATTTCCATAAATTGTCGCCATTGAACCTTTGTCAACATGTTTTTCGGCGTGAGTTCCAGGGTCGCCGCCTCGCGTTGAGCATTTTCAATAGCTGCTAGCGTCGATGACGCCTGGGTCAAGGTGCTGGTAGATCTTCCCGCACTCGAAGAGTTCGACAATGTTCCCGAGTCTCTTGAGGACATCTCGGGTTGGTCCTCGGTGAGGTCTAACGAGCTCACGTTGAGAAGGACATGATCGGAGAAAGATAATTGACTCATCAGTGTCGATGGAGAGCCTCGGGAAGAAGTATGAAGAAAAGTTTCGCCTCCTTCGGTCTTCTGACCCTCACCCTCACCCTCACCTTCACCCTCACCATCACGGAAGGGCCAGCCAACGTCATCATCTTCGACGACGACTTCGAGGTGCATGCTGATTTCTTTGGCAGCGTACATGTAAACGTGATTTCTCTCTAAAGCGGCAACAAAGTCAAGCAGCTTTGCCCGCGTTTTGGGGTACGCGAAATCACCGGGATACTCGGAGACCCATTGCGCAAGCACGTTAAGCAGCCTCAATTGATCCGAGGCACGAGACAGTGGAGGGGCGGTACTCCGTTCGTTTTGGTCGAAACGACTGATCAAGGCGTTGAGGAGCTTGGCGGGAGCTGCAAACTTGCGGTAGAGACACAAGAAGATGGCGACAAATTTGTGGTCATGCTTCGACATCGGCAGCGCGACCAGGCGATCGACGAGTTCGTCAAAGGTGACTCCAGTCTCATTCTGTGCGGCCTCATGTTGTTGCTTGTCTTGAAGCTGCTCAGCGCTTGCTGGTCTGCTACGCGAATCCTCCGTCTCTTCTTCCATATCCAAAAACGAGCTGAAAGTGTCCGAGCCCGCACTGAAACGCCAAGTCGTGCGCAGCGCGTTTTGGCGGTGCGGAGAGGTGCTTGTCCTCGTCAATCCAGGGGAGGACGGTCGGCGTGAGCTTACCCGTGGTCCAGAGGGAGGAGTTTTCGAGCGCACAGGATGCGAGTTGCTCCGGGCATATCTGGAACTGGGGGCATTGAAAGCCACGGTGGACCCCGTCGTTTTGTCGCTGGGAACACGGCTCGAATCGGTCCCGTCGACTTCACGATTAGGCGCGGAAGGGCCCCTATTATTAACACCAGAATCGCCGCCCGACCGGGAAGTGGTTCTGGGAGCTTCGGAATCCGCGCGGCGATCTTGGGCAGCAGGCGTTTGCGGTGGTTGGGTCTCAAACGGAGAGCTCGAGGGAGAATAGTCGTCCCCGCTCTGGTGGAGGCGAGCAAGATCTAGAAGGCGAGATATCAGTCCCGACTGAACGGAAGAGTGTGACCGTTGGAGGGCGGTGCGACGCTGGCAAATTTAACGTCTCGGCGTTTTTGCGTTGCGGGCTGCATGCCAGGGTCCACGGGGATGGCAAACAGGGGGGAACGTGAGCGCTAGCGCGGCGGAACTGCTCGCCGCGGAAAATAGCGCACCACCCAACGCCCTCAAGTGGACCGTCTAGGGGCGGTTCCGTCTCAGGTGCACGGCCAAGCCTCCAAGGGAAAAGGAGAAAAAAAAGAAGAAAAAGAGACAAAATCCATGCAGAAACCGCATGAACATCAGGGCAGAGTGTCGCAACTATGCGTCGCTGGAGGCCTGGCAATGCCCAAGACAGGGGAGGAACGACAAGGAATCTGGAGCTTACCTGAATTCCGCGTTCTGATGGAACGCAGCACGGACGAAATGCATTTCTTGTGCGTTCGTGGGTCCTCCAAGGAAGTCTCCTGAAACGTATACGTGCAGAGGACCTTGTCCGCTTGCTCGATCGTCACCGGGTCCGACCTGCCAGAGAAGTGAGAGACATCGCATTTACAGGCCACGAGCTCAAAGGGCAGACGAGACTCGGTCAAGGCATCTGCGTTGATTTAAAAAGACAAGGTTAGCAACCATACGAGGGCGAAGTTGCAATAGAATTAATAAAGTCATCGCATAGATAAGATTTCTGCCCTGTAATACCAAAAGGGGCACTTACGCAAAATGCGTGAGACTTCCACAATGCTCTTTGGGGAACTCGCATCGTACAGAACCAGGGCCCCGTCGATCGGGGGGAGCGTCTGTTCCCCCACGGATAGAGGCCAAACAATGCGGTTGGTTTGGGTTACCGACGTCTCCTTCGGCAGTATTTTCCACAAATTTACGACATAAACTGTCCCATCCAGTGACATTTTCTTGGAAGATAAAGGCGACGTGGGAGGCTGCTTGAGATCCAGGGCGTGTTGTATGAAAGTAGACTTTCCCACGCCACGTGAGCCCACGACGGCAAGATTGACGCGTGGGTTGTCGGTTTTGGAGTATCCTGACTGTATGCAGACGTCAGCGACCATTTTTCTTGTCCTTCCTCTCTTCTCTTCTTCTTCTCTCTCTTCTTTTTCTTCTTTTCTTTTGTTTTTGTCGTCCTCTCGGATGACTCAACGCTACCTGAAGGATATGAAACGAAAGGCTCTATTCGTGTAACCAACAACATTCCAACGTACCTCATCTTTGATACCATGCGGTCCACGCGGCGACTTGATCTCCTGAGGCTGCGACTTGTCGCTCGATGATACAGCGCGCCTAGGCTGATTGGGATCCATTATGAGAGTATGTGGGACGAATTGGCTGGCAACTCAACGCAACGAACACCAGGCTAGACGAAGAAAACAAGGATTGGCGAAGATTTCATTCCTAGATCCACATGGATAGGAGTGATTATTCCTCGTGGTTCATTGTGGAGAGAAATGAGATTGCAAGGTAAATCAGTAATATAGTAGATGTATAAACCGTTGCAAGCCTGGTCAAATGTCTCTTCGAAATTGTCAGATGCGGCAGCTCAGCAAAGGACTTGGTCAAATTGCAGATAGGCCGAGTTGGATCAGACAGTTGGCCATAAACAGTGCCGGCATCCACACCAAGAAAATAGGATGAGGAGATTCGACGCAACGATAGATGATAGCGCAAGCAAGAACTCAAGATACAGTATGCAGATGTGGGAATATCTTGATATCCTTAACCAACGATGGAAGGATTGGATGGAAGAGGCATCCAGAGATCCCCTCCGAGTGGTTCAGATAACGCGGTTATTATTGCGACCTGCATGTGCGTGGCTAGCTCCATACGGTTCTGCAGAACGGGGGATCGACGCCGCTTCCCGCGTCGCCTTTCCCACACGTGACATTGAGTTCGGTTCGCTACGAACTTGGGCAGGACTAAGAGATACTATTTATCCTCCTACCCAATATTATTGATCGCCTCATCTTACAAGGGATCCTTATCATGCCCCTTTTCACATTCACTTCTGTCATTCTGTTGTGAACGGCTACGGAAGCATGCTTCCGCTGCCGAGAATTCAAATTATTGCGAACTCGCTACAAACATGGCCAGTATGGTATAACGCTGTTAAAGAAAGTGTGACGTATTTTGATTTATGCTGCTTCGATGAACACTCCTTCGATAGTGTTGCCAGCATGGAGAGACACATGAAATTCACCAGGACCTGCTAGCTTATTGGCAACCAGCTCTCAAAAGGAGGATCTATAATCAACACGTTTCATCCAGGTATCGACCCAGTCTGCTGTGGTGAGCATCTCTTTGCGGGTTTCGCTTTCTTGCATTTTCAGCATGATCAGGCCTTATCTCGGTTCACCCCACATCCTATCGGCTCCACTGCTTCCTCATCTTTGCAGAAATGAGGTTCAGGGCCTGTCAGAACTTTGTCATATCATCATGCCATCGCGCAGATGGCTCTAATTTATATCCGCAGGTGCGCTCATAAAGCCTCGACCATCTTAACGATCAAGCTGCCCTGTGGTCCGAAATACCGTCCGTTCCGCACCGTAAAAGCAGGAACTCATGGCTTGCAACTTCTCGGGAAGAACAAAATGATCACTCTCATATCGTGTATCCCTCAAGCGGTGTTTCGATCGCAGTTAAGAAGGTCCTTCATACTCGTCATTAACCAGGGCGATGAATCGCATAAAGCCCTCTGCATCAGGTCCCGTGCTTTTTCCATCTTCGCAGCTTTCTCTCCATTTCCTGACTTTCCCCAGACCACGGTTGAATCCCTTTTCTGCAGTCCACTGCCCTTTGTTGCCACCGCCTCGATGGTGTCCTCTTCGGCGGTCATGCCTACGGCCAAGATCGGGATGTTGCGCGCTAGCCCATTCTTCCTCCAACGTGGATCTGTAGATCTCTCGCAACTTCCCACGTAGTCCGGGGAACCTGGTGAAGATATCCTGCAGCTCCTTTGAGGAGCCAAGACTTTCCAAACTGAAGGGCTCTTTCTTCCCGCTTCTGGCCTCCTCCGATACGTGGCCGTTCGCTGTGCTCTGTGCCTTTCCAGACTCGGCTGAAGCTTGGGATCCTCCTTGATCGGGCGCGGTGGTCTCTTTTGGCGTACAATATATCTTATGGGACTGCACGCAACCAAGGGAACAGCTACATGAACGCGAAACGAAGAGATGGTTAGGACGATCTTTTTTAAATCCGGAAACTGACATCTTACCTCATTACCCTGCACGCCGGACATGTGTACTTTGCAGGCTCGGAGGAGCACACCTGGCATATCTTGGGCATGTTGACGTGCGGTTTATGCCTCAGCTTCGGATAGCTCGAGTATGTCGCATGGTCGTCCGACCGCGCTTTGCCCGCAACAGAGCGTGTCAAACTTTGCTCTGGAACCAGTAAGAATTTAGGCCATAGATAAAAGCCCTTGAAAAAAACGGTTTGTAGCAAACAACCAGTAAAAGTGATGTGAAAAGCGCAGCCTGCTTTGTTAACTTCCCGCAGAGTGAAATATTGAAGAAAGCTTGGGCCACTTTTTCAGCTCCGCCCATGAAATCTAGTGTGGTCCGTGCACCTAAATTCATAAGGATCCATACTCCGTACTCCGTATTGTTATCGAGCCATCTGCCAACCTCCTTGCTTAAACTTTACTTTTGTACCGCATCATGAAGAGCATGGCAAGGAATATAGGTGGGAAGCCCCACGTGGAAATTAGATTAAAACTATATACATAGCCAACAGGTTCGGGGACAGAAAGCCCCGTCATAGACCAAAGTAATACCTATATTTTTTTTCCTCTTTAAATTAGCCGAAGCTTAGACTTGTGCAGAATATCCGAGTTGACGAGTTCAATATGATGCGATTGTCTAGGACAAGTTTGCTATTCTGCAGAGCTTTCATGGTTTTTTACTCTGTATACTTTCCATTGATTACGGTGAATTTTGATGGATCAAAGTTCATTTCCCTGTATTGTGGGAAAATGCCCTGTATATAATAAATGCGGATGATACCCAATCACTTCAGTGTTAATCCATCCATTACTACTATATTAAAAGAAGACTTACGAGAGCTCCAGAGGAATAACTCAGGTACCTAGGTACCTCTATACCTAAGTCTGAGTATATCTGCCATCTGATTGGTTATTTCTTAAAATCACGTGAATTGCTTATTCATATTACGTCAACGGGAACAGTGATTAACGTAATCAACCACCGAGCGACGAATACCACCGAGCGACGAATTTTCGCCGCACCCACTATAATTTTGAAGCTTTTCAACCACCAATACAATTAAATTAGACTATCTAGTAGTTGAATATATAGCTATTTATTAGGACAATTCCTTATGGTATGTCCAATAGTCCCACAGCCACTGCAGCGTTGTGGAGCTCGCCGTTGAGGCATAGGTGTAGGCTCATCAAGCTTCTCATTAAGCTGCGTATCAAGCTGCTGAATGCGATTTTGGCCTTCTTGTACAGATAAAAGGGTATCATTACCTAGAATAGCACGCCTTCTTGCCTTCTTTCTAGTTTTCCGCTCAGTCTCAGCTCGTAGAGTCCTAATTTCATCTCGAAGAAGAAGGTTCATATTCATTGCCATCTGCGCGGCCTTTTCAAGATGATGAATATGAGACATTGGGCTGCTAGAAAGCTTTTGCTTTCTTGCACTAAGGCTTTTTTGCAAGCTGCGAACCTTGTGATCCAGCTGGTGAGGATTCTGAGGAGTTTGAAAAGCAGAGGAGACTGAACTTTCAACTGAAGCTGGTGGTGTTGGCGTACGAAGCTGAAAGGTAATCTTTGCAAGAACCCGCTCTTTATCAAGTGGCTTAAGTCCAGCTCCTGCAAAGCCTTTGCATATATTGTCTGGAGTAAACACTTCTGCACGAGCAGATGGATATAGGGATAGAAAGTCTTCCTTGTCAATATGGTTGTTGCCAGCAATCATTCTCTTTTCAAGCAGTTTTCCGTACGCGCGCTTAAGCGGGCCAAAAACACCAACATCAAGTGGTTGCAGGAGATGAGAGGCATGTGCAGGCATGCAAAGACAGACAATTGCATTCTCCTTGCAGAAAGTATCAAACTCTGCAGTTAAATGGCTACTATGGCCATCAAGAATAAGCAACCGCTTTGCACCAGTTGTATAGCGTCTGGAATATGGTTCAAACACCTCTTTCAACCAGCGAAGGCCTATTTCATCTGTTGTCCAGCCATTCTCGCTAGTTGCAATCCACCAGTCTTTGGAAGTGTAGGTTCTTGATACCAAGCAGCCTGTTGAGATGCTGCTTTCAAGATAATCACTGGTGGTATATGAATCCCCTTTGAGCTCACAGTCTCAATGATTGTAACCCATTCACGGTTTCCCTGGATGACTGTACGAGGCCTTTCACTGCGTTCTGCTGCAGTAATAACCTTGGAGGTTGAGCAGAGCCCCATTGCAAAGCCAGTTTCATCAAAATTCCAGATGTCATCTTCATGTATGCCATGTTCCTGAATAGCTGCATGTACAGCTTGAAACCATGGTATTATAACTCTTGGATCCTCCTGCTTTGCACGCTGGTATGTAATCCTTCGATTATATCTTGTACGCAGCTCAGGATGGCGCTTGACAAATTTATAAGCCCAGTTGATGCCAAGGACTGCAGTAGGATCCTGTAGACGCTCACGGAGTAATATTTGTGCCATTGAACGCAGAAACTCTGGCCGAATTGGAAAACCTCGTTTATCTGCCTCTAGTAATCGCTGAATAAGTGTTTCCTCTTCAATAGCCTTTAATCTATGGCCATTAGCACGTGTTTCTGCGCGTGGTTGTCTTCCTTTAAGGCGAGCGCGAAGGGTAGCCTCAGGCACCCCAAAAATCTCTGCAGCCTTCAGTATTGATTTGACTTTTTGATTTTTATAAGCTGCAATAGCCATTTGAATTCGGTTTTCTTGAGATAAAGGCATTTTTGATAGTGGTGGTGATAAAATGACGCGTTGAAAAAAGGAAGTGGTAGGGTGGAGGAAAATTCGTCGCTCGGTGGTATTCGTCGCTCGGTGGTTGATTACGTTATTTGAAGTTAGCTGGGCGAATTCTCGAGCCGACGGGTTTGTCATCGGAGAGACGACAACGCTCGAAACCCGTCAAAGACCCCGTAACGTGGGATTAGTAGTAACACAAAATGTCGACACAGCAAGCATCAAGATACCTCATCAAGCGCGCAATTTTTGGTTCAGCGCCCGTGGCTCGGGTTTCGGAGACGAGTCGACTGACGGCTACGAGGGCCTTGCCTTCGGCATCGAGAAGTTTTCACAATGCTCGCGGCCTCCCAGCGATTACATCCTCAGAGAGCCGTCGCAGACCGACGCTGCGGCCATACCAGCAGCCATCTGGAATCATGAGGGTGAATGGCTCGTCCCCAGGAGACAGGCGGACGATATTCATCCAAACTGAGACCACTCCAAACCCAGATGTGAGTTCTGCAGTTTTCACTCATAATTCTCCTGTATTTCGTTTTGCTGACGACGGCGATAAACGGAGACGTAGGCTCTCAAGTTTCTTCCTAATCATCGCGTCCTTCCTGAAAATTTCCCTACGCCGTTCTTAGAATATCTTTCGCCGAGATCGACTGTTGCTCCGCCGCATCCGTCCCCGTTGGCTTCAAAGCTTCTCAATGTTGATGGTGTTTCGTCTGTTTTCTACGGACCGGACTTCATTACCGTTACTAAAGCGAGTGATGCCAACTGGGCTCACATTAAGCCCGAGGTTTTCAGCCTGATTACCGAGGCTGTGACGTCCGGAGAGAACATTGTAAACACAGTCGAGCGGACATCGGCAGAAAGTGCCCAGAAGGGTGGGGGCGAGGATACCCTGGGCTATAATGAGGAGGATGATGAAGTCGTTGGCATGATCAAGGAGCTTCTGGAGACCAGAATCCGGCCGGCTATCCAGGAGGACGGAGGTGATATCGAATTCCGCGGCTTTAAAGATGGCATGGTATATCTGAAGCTGCGAGGAGCCTGCCGGACCTGTGACTCGAGCACGGTGACACTGAAGAACGGCATCGAGTCCATGTTGATGCACTATGTAAGTCCACTTCACTTATCCCTTTTCTCTTTCCGTCTATAGACCATTGAATGCTAATGGGACCTTCTGTGACTAGATTGAGGAGGTCAAGGGCGTGCACCAGGTCCTGGATCCGGAGGAGGAAATCTCGATGCATGAGTTTGCCAAGTTTGAAGAAAAGCTCCGACAGCAGAAGGGGCCTCAGGCTACTGCGTCCGCAGTGGGCAAAGGCAGTTTGGATACGGCAGAGGCTTAAGGACAGAAGAAGCCAATTATCAGCTTCTCACCATGTTGCTGTTGCTGTCGTCCCTTATGGGGCTTGATTAGCGTCTTGCTCGATTTTCTAGTGACCGGGAATGTTGATTAGATTGCGGGTTTGGTTGTGTCTGTCAGGAGACAAATTGTACAGTACACAATATAGATCAGTTTTGAGACATGACACCTAGCCATGAGAAAGTTGGTATGGAAATGATTTTTTTTCTCAATTATACCCTATCTACGAGAGAGAAGAAAAATTATAACACATCTAAGTGGAGGAATGACAGAGTTCCTTTTCTCTCCATCTACCAGCCTTTTTTTTTTAACGGATTTGAAGTCTTTACTTCCTTTATAAGATATTACTATATTCGAAGGCGGAAGTGCATGAATTCTGCCAGGGTGTATGTTTTACTAAGAACGTGCTGGCAATACCATGCCTCGTATACCGTAGATAGATCGTAGCCCCGAGGAAATTCCTAGCGAAGAGCGAAAAGGACTATTGGCAAGAAGCTCATGTTGTGGACAGGCGCATCCGTGGATATATGGCAGGCCGTGGATCAGAAGGTTAAGCAGTCTGTACAGTAGCTCTGTCTTTCACGGACTACGATCGTGTTGGCCGGTGTGGCCCATGCAGGTGACTGAGGTCCGTCGGATTGACCGCTACCGGATACCTAATCGAAGGAGGGGCAGCCAGGCGAGCGACAATCCACGCAGCCTATGAGCATTGAGCACTGGCATGCTAGGCTCGCTGCTCTGCCCACCCAACAGCAGTCCTGCGCTTCCGTCTCGCGCCACTCCACTGCTGCAACCGACTACTGCAACTGCCTAGCATCCCCGCGTTCAAATTGTGGGGTAGCTGTCGGTTGCCACCAACCCACAGTGTAGGTCGGACGAAGCATAACATCGAACAGTAATCATGTCGTCCAACTGGAGCATTCCTCCCTGTGCCGAGAATGGATGACTGACCCGACTGTCATGCTCTTGCAGGCGGTGGGCCTCCGGCAGCAACAAAACACGACATCAGGAGAGGAGCAACTTGACCGCACCTGACAAGCTGCCACAACGGGGTGATCAATTCTGGGCCCTTGCCTTTGTAGGGAGCTAGTTGGAACCTGACAGGACGGATCCTTCGGCAGAATGCGCTACTGTTTGCCATGCGCGATTTAAGTTCGGTTTCACATTGTGTGTGGACGGCGGGAGGGTGTCCAATTTAAATGTTCGGTGCCATTGTGTGGGTGTTCTCGTCAGGCGGGGAGAGGGACCCCTGCCGGAATGGTGGCTTTGCAGTATCGCACAAACAAGCAGGGAGCCCCCAAGCATGCCCAACATTCTATGCACCGGTGAAGAGTGGGATTGTGGATTGTTATGCAACATCTACGAATATGTGCGAGATGTGCGAGACGACCAAGGGTCTCCAGCTGCGGGTTTCCTGTCATCGTCGAAGGCGAAGGCATCAGTTGCGGCCAAGGGACCCTGGGCAAGGCTGGAGGAGCATTACTCCGTAGTTCCAAGCCAGCTCCTTAGGTAACTTAGGCACTTCCGTCCTAGCTACCTAACCTAACCTAAGCAATGCATGGCTTCCCCAGATGAGAAGCGAGCACTTAACTGGCTAGGAGATTAGCTAAACTGACCGTATGCCGCCCGTACCTACGGAACTAGCCTTTGTCTTTCTATTTCGCTGCTGTTCTACTGGCTCAACCCAGGAAATCAGCGTCGTGTGACGATCTGCGCGAAGAGAGTTCTCCGTGGGGACCAAAGGAAAGCGGTACAGCGTAGAAGCTACAGAAACTGTCCGTGGTTCTGGGCCCTCGTCATTGCGCAGGGATCACGACAGCACGCGGATGAAGGTAGGTGCAGCTATCCACGACTGTCAGTAAGCTCTTGTTCCTAGTGTCACATTCCAATTCCGCCTCGGGGAGCAAGCAGAGCTCTAGGGTGAAAGAGTAGTGGCCGAGTCAGAGAGGTTGCAGCCGATGCCATTGGAGCATTGAGCAGCAGATTTCTCTGGGCAGCAGTTAAACAGTCGTGTCTGCTGAGTCGGTGCATTGTATTCTGTTGAAGCTGCGATGCCAGGCGGTGCTTTGTGGATTCCATGTCGTCATTCTGGGTAGCTTAGTTAGACACCATAGCGTTCTCAAGAGGAGGCCTTCCTGGTGGAGATCGAGTCTCGTGCCTCTAAGAGTAGCTCGAAACGGAACTGACACGCTTCCCTCGACGCCGGCAGCCAATAATAGCAGGATGCGCTGCAAGTAATTCGAGGACCCCGCAAGGACAGGCGGCCAGACGGTGAACGACCAGGGTTCGTATGCTGGACATGGACTGTAGGCTGTAGCTGTGTGCTGCCTCTCCATGGATGGAGCAGCAGCGACGTCTCCCCACATTGTCGGCCAGCTGGATCGCTGGGTCTAGCGCCTGACGACGCCCAGCGATGGGCCGGTGCTGCCGGTCCAGCAGCCCCAATTCGCCCCCTCCCCGCCACTCCTCAGCAGCTCAATGCTTCTCGCCCGCCGGTTCCAAGCAGCGACGGCCTAGCAGCGCGCACCGCGACCTGTCCACCAGTCATATATCCCCGGGGGATCTTCGACGGTACCAAGGCGCCCGCTGCCATTGTCCACCTTACTCCGCGTTCCCTGTCATTGTTCCTTCAGCTACAAGGCGTGAGCGAGACTCGAGGGAGCACGGTTCTCCTGTCGCTTGCTGTCAACCAACCCCATCCGCCTCCAGGTCGGACAAGCCGCCACCACGTCTCCTGCTGGTCCTGCCAATTCGTGGCTAGTTCTCCTCTCCTCCATCCCCTTCCATCGCGCTGGGAGCCCTTTTTCCATTCTGCTTCTTGCCGATGTCCTGCGGACTCTGAGTCGCCCATCTTTGCTGTTGCTTGCCATCTCGGCCCTTTCGATATCTACCACTTACTGCCTTCGCGACTTCTTCGGGCGCGGAGCTTCGACCCGACAGGCTCGGCGGGTTCAATGTGAGTTCCGGCACCTGCACACGAGCGTGATCACGACCTTGCTGCCGTCGTTTCCATCCTTACAAAAGCTGACTTGTCATTTCTGAACAGATTCTTCTTCTGATCTGAAGATGCGCTGCTCCTAGGAAGTGCGCATCTCTGCTTGGCTGGCGCCTGTTTGCTGGAAGCTTCACGCAACCCGCGGTCACGCAACCCATCGCTGCCTTTGTGTGTACCCGGCATCATACAACCCCGTGCCTTCATACCTGCGCGCATCGCATACGAATCTCCACAAATACCCATAGATTGGGTTCTCGCTTCGCAAGTCCAATTCCCGTTTCGAGAGAGAAGAGGGGGTTTAAAAAAAGACAAAAAGAAATCATAGAGAGAAAAAGGTGGAGAGAAGGCTGCGACCTGCCTTCTCACCAACGGTTCCTTCAGTTACAGCTATTCTTTGAAACACGGAAGCCGGGTTGCTTCTTGATAGAGGATTGTATATGGTAGGGAAATTTGGGATTCTGTTTGAATACGCTGGATAGAATACTACGGCCCTCTAGAGTGGTGAGTTGGTGAATGTGTCTCATGATGGGCAATGCCCTAAGATGATGATATCTCGACAGATTATCTTGGCGCTGTCTGGTCTGCTATAACGTTATTATTTGCTCTTCTTTTAGATCTTGTTCTATATACTGCAGGTGAGTCGGTTTCACGTTTCGGTCGATCGTCTGCTATTTCCTTCGAGCGATACCCCTCTACCTGCGGTCGCTTCTACGCGTCTCCATGTCTATTAGGAATATTCTTTTCTTTTTTACTTCTCTCTTTTTTTCCCTTCCCCCGGATTTTTTTTTGTTTGAACTCTTATGATTGCTGTCGCCCTCTGGTATGGGGCCATTGACAGCTGTTGGGGGCCGGACTCATCTACCAGCATCTTCTTCACTATGCGTCTCGAGCTGCTAAGTTTATTGCTCACTTTGATTCCTCGAAATTTCATTAGATATATAATGAGAGCTAACGTGGCATCAAATCGGGCATAGGCTGCTATCTCGGTCAGCTTCAAATCATAACTTCCCACTCTTCTTCAACGTTCAAAGGGCATCTGTTACATAATATCCAACGTCTCGTCTGAGGCCTCCATATATATCGCGCATAACTGATTCCACTTTGTGAATTTCAAGGTGAGTCATCTACAATTCTACACGTGACCTACCCATCCTAGCCGCAATATGGTGTATTCACCAACTTCTCCCCGCCTGTTTCCTCATTGAATACTACGCGTATAACACCCGCATCACAATTTATGCGCGTCGTATCTGTCGGCATTCTGCTCATTCACACATCTCTCACTATCCTGTCACCTCATCTGAATGCCTCTCGACTTTTCATCTGCCCCTATGGGGAATGGGTGTCCTTCTCATTCCAACTGGCTGACTTGTCTGTATGAATAGTGCCATAACCGACTGGATTTTGTCCAACACTCCCTGTGGTGTTGCCTGTGATCAACTCGCTTCCCTTATCCTCACAGTGTGCTATTTCATGAATTGACCACTCTCACCTGAGAGGATTGGCTAGTAGCGTGGTTCCCGATAATTGGTCAGACAATACAGTTGCAAAAATGGCGACATCTGCTGTGACGGGGAAATCCACGCCTGCATCTGCTAGCAATGCATCCCTCCGGCTGGAGAAGAGCCATCCCGGAGTTCGCCGCTCGACTCCCGATTCCGAAGCTCTGGCTTCTTCAGATGACGAGGTCGAGCAACATCAACAGACACCGACCGCCACGAGTGCACCAGCGCCTAAACCAGCGCGGCGCACATCATGGCTGAACGAAGTGCCACAGACTCTGCCTAGGAAAGCTTCACTGACTACAGGAGGGCCTCTTGCTTCGACAGGTTCCAATCCTTCGACCCCTGCAGCTGACCAGAGCCCGTGGGCTACCACCACGAGCCCAAGCCTCAGTGGTTCTATATCTTGGGGCCATGGTGGCAGTAACTTCCCTTGGGGGACCGGTATTTGGAACACTGAGTCACGCAAAGAGCCTCCACCGCGACTCAGTGAGTTAAGCCTCTCACCCACAATGCCAAATCCGCCAAATACAAGCACCGGTGCTGCGGATGAGGTTCTTAGTCCCACCTCTCGAACACTGCCCGGCGATTCATCCATCCCTTTCACAATTCCTCTTCATCCGACCCCCAAGACATATCGCTCACAGTCGTATTCTGTCGGACAGCTCGATCCCGAGACAGTCAAATTGATGACTGCCAAAGCGGCTAGCTATTACAATACCGGTCGTGGGAGAAATGGTGGTCCGTATACGGGTTTACAGCATCGATCTTCTCGACCAAGCTTACTGGGGGAGCTAGGTCACGATTCTGCTTTGCTGGGTCAGGTTCGCGAGGACGATGATGGCGAAGACAAGGCGAATGATTCCGACGGCAGTTACTCTTTGGCTTCGAATCAGGCACGCACTATCGAACAGTTGACGAGAGAGAATGCGCTCCTGCGTCAGGCAGCCGGTCAATTGGACAGTGCGCGTTTAAGGGACCGAGCAGCGTCTTCTGCTTCGGCCAACATTGCTGGCGGTATTCACAACTTGCATCGCATACGCGGTAGCGTTCCAGAAGAGTCTGACCTTGCTGTAGAAGACTTGGATGAGCTGGGCGATATTCCTGGTTACAGCAACATTCGGAGTAATGCCAGGAGAAGATTCTCGGAGCATTCTGCTAATCTCGAGAAGCAATTCCCGACGTTCGCCTCGCTGGAAAACAGACCCCTGGAGAATCTCAAAAGAGCTCACTGGCAGACGTCCCTTGGCTTTGGCAGCATCAGCGAGCTTCCGCAGAGTCGGCGACACTCCTTCGCGGATATCCCTCCAAGACACACATCGATCAGTTCGATCGGGGAGTCACAGTCTCACATAGGTTCCGTGAATTCTCGATCAGGCCCGGGAGATCGAGAAGAAGGACTTTCCAACATCATGGATGGAACCATTACTACATCCCCGGGAGAGAACCGTGAGTATTACCATTTTCGCCCGACCCGTCACCTTCAACAGAATGAATTAGAACTGGAGCATTTACGAGCGAGAGAATTTGCAGCATCGTACTTTTCCGGTCGCGAGAAACTTCACGCCGGTGCCGATTCGCTTCCTTCGTCCGCAATTCCCACCTCGCTGCACCAGGCGTATAATATGCCGACCTCCTTTGGCCGCCCACAAGCGGGATTGACCCAGCCTCACCAGAATCAGCTCCTGTATATCGTCACGTTCAAATGCCACCGGGCGGATGTCTTTTACATTCAAGAGGACACCGGTCTTCAGGTCAAACCTGGTGACCTTGTCATCGTAGAAGCGGATCGCGGCACGGATCTGGGAACCATCCAGCATGCGAACGTCACCTGGCAACAGGCGCGGGAACTGAAAGAGAAATATGCGGAAGAACATTACAAATGGCTGATGATGTTCTCTCGACAAGCCCAAAATGGAGCATCGATCCCTCCTAGTCGTAGCGCAATAGGTGGCATGGGACCAACGGGCTCACACGGCCATGAATCGCAGGCTTCAGATATCAAACCCAAGCTGATCAAGCGGCTCGCCCAGAACCACGAGATCTTGACCCTGCGAGACAAGGAAGGCAACGAAGCCAAAGCCAAGCGAGTCTGTCAACAGAAGGTTGCTGAACATCGGCTCAACATGGAAATTCTAGATGCCGAGTTTCAGATGTGAGTCTTGTCACCCTTATCTGTCAGGAATAGTGTCGCTAATCTTACGGTTGTAGGGATTGGAAGAAATTGACCTTTTATTACTTTGCGGACACCTATATCAACTTCAACCCTCTGGTAACCGATCTGTTCAAGATCTACAAGACCAGAATTTGGATGTCTGCTATCAATCCTGCATCTTTCGCGTCGCCCCATGCTGGCCTCCCACCTCCAGGTGCGAGTTCCGTGGGTTATGGTCAAGAGACAGCGTCCGACCGTCGTCATCAGCATGATCTCAGAGGATACAATCTCCCTCAATTGTCAACGGCACCGGGCAATCTTCGAGATCCCCTGGATTCCCAGAGGGATGCTGTCTCTAACCCCGTCGGCGGTCTTCGTAACGCTTACATGGACCCTTACCAGTCTTTTGGCCCGGCCGGTCGCCAGCCAGAGATGGGATTTGGTCACGCCGTTCCACAAAATGATCCGTTTTCATCATACCCGTCAACCGGTTATGGAGCGCTGGATCCCGGAGTGTCGGACTACACTGCAGCAAACATTGCCGGTTCTAGCAACGGACAGAGAATCAATCCGACTCAAGGAGACTGGGTCAACAGATTTCAGGGCCTGTCTCTCGGGTCGTGAGAAGTTTTCCCCTTTCTTCCTTCTGCCGAACCTCCTTCTCTGCGTAATTCGTCGTGGATTATCATCTGTTTCTGCGTTTCTTCGGATCTCAACCCGCTCTTCGTCGGCATGAATCATGGTTTTCACAATACCAAGTTAGATTTCCCTTAATGCTTTTATTAGGTAGATCGTCAAAGGGATCTACGACAGGCCTTTACCTCTGATACCTGATAGACTGCTACAGCTCACGACTTAATTCTCCTTTCTTCTTCTTTCCCCCTCTCTTTTTCTTTCTTTCTTTCCTTTTTTTTTTTTGACGTGTTATCATGTTTGTTAACCCTGCACAAAGATTCGGAAAGTCGATGTTCTACTCTCCCCTACCCCACGAATGCGTTCCCTTGTGTCTATTTCTTTCTAAAAATTTCTGTTGCCATAGATCATATGAGACTATGACTGCTACGGTGGATAGGATTCAGAATGCAGACGAATTGCGGTAAAGAGTTTTTTTTTTCTATCCTCCTTCCTCCCAAAATGTTCCAGGTTCACGCGACGATAGCCCATTTCTGACTAGTTGGGACGATAAGGAGAAATTATTGCATAAAGGCGAGAGAGTTAGAAAAAAATGGAGTGGGTGTGGGATGGCCTGCAATTCTTCCTTTCGTTATCTCCAGAGTCCAACAGGCCAAGTTGCTATTCCAATTTGGATTATTCTTCTCTGTACGTAACTGTTCTCTCTCGTCTATCTTATTTCGTCGATTCTCCTGACAAGGAAGAACCAAAATTGAATTTGTGATTCTCTTCTTCGTTTGCAGTTTGCCTTGGATTTCTGCTCCTCTCAAAGACCTTTTCTACTCTCCCTAAGGGTTGGACCTTTATGTAAATCTCTAAGAATTGCAAACCAGCTGTTCAATACCTTCGCGTAGTCGTCCATCATGTTGAGCGCTGATACGTAGGTTCTTCTGTCATTTCACCAGGATTTCCAGGAAAAAGAGCATACAAGGACACGTGCTCAGAGACATGTACTGAGGTACTTCCAATTTCGTAGCTAAATTTTGATACTCTCTGCGCTAGCGTTGAACCCGCCTTCCGAGCACTCTGGTTGGCTGCACAGGCCGCCTTAACATGGTTGGCCAGCGCGGGTTGTGTGCACCGCTCGCCTAATTTTTAGCGTCCCACACACATTCGCTCCATTCCCTTGACGAGAGGAGAGACTCGCAACTTTTCTGCTCCCAGCAGCGACAACGACGACAACCGACGAGGAGTCCACGCCGACAAGGTATGCTCTCTACTATCGCCCGTATTGACGGAATTCACGCGATTGAAATTGGAATCTCGCTCTGAACGGTTGGCTGACTGGTGTGCTGCTCCAGATGGGTGCCCTCAAGTACGTGGAAGAGCTTTACAAGAAGAAGCAGTCTGACGTGCTTCGCTTCCTGCTGCGCGTCCGATGCTGGGAGGTGAGATCCCCCGAATAATGCTTTCTTTGAGATACCTGCCGGGAGTCGAGATCAGAACTCGTTTTGCCATTGCCATAGGATGATACCTGTTCTTGATGGTGTATTGCTTGGGCGGCTCGATTTTACACACCCGGTCAGGTGGACGTGGCACGCAATCCAATCTTATCTTGGCTTGCTGTGTCTTGCTATACACTCGTTGAACTTTGCTGAGAGTGCATTAATATAGCTCCGTCAACTCGATGTGATCCACCGCGCTTCCCGCCCATCTCGCCCCGACAAGGCTCGTCGTCTCGGCTACAAGGCCAAGCAGGGCTACGTGATCTACCGTGTCCGTGTGCGACGCGGAGGACGCAAGCGGCCCGTTCCTAAGGGTGCCACCTACGGTACGCGCCGGTTTCTGTGTGAATGAGGAATCTTGGAGCATATCGGGCTGATCTGATGACTCTTAGGCAAACCCACCAACCAGGGTGTTAACCAGCTGAAGTACCAGCGCTCTCTCCGCTGCACTGCTGAGGAGCGTGTTGGTCGTCGCTGCGCCAACCTGCGCGTCCTGAACTCCTACTGGATTAACCAGGACTCGACCTACAAGTACTACGAGGTCATTCTCGTGGACCCGCAGCACAAGGCCATCCGCCGCGACCCGCGGATCAACTGGATCTGCAAGCCTGTTCACAAGGTATGGCTCTTTGTCCTTCCGGGGCATGGTTGGAGGGATTTGGAAAGAGAAAAGGCAGGAGCGTGTACTGACATGTCTTCTCACCTCAGCACCGCGAAGCCCGTGGTCTCACTTCTATCGGCAAGAAGTCCCGTGGTATCAACAAGGGCCACCGTTTCAACAAGACCTCGGCCGGCCGGAGGAAGACCTGGAAGCGCCACAACACCCAGGTCTTCTGGAGATACCGTTAAATGTAGGGGGGTCCATTGGCAGTGGGGGACATCATGGCATCTATCTCTTTGTGTGGATGTTATTGGTTCGAACCATAAAATTCACGATGATCATACCATTGTGGTTTTCCAGCGTGTGCTTTACGAAAAAAATGAGTCTAATCTGACATGGGAGCGAGGAATAAGACTATTTTTCTTCGCCGGAAATTTCAGTGGTCCAAATAACCGGAGATACTTCGTAGGATTGATTCCCTTTCGTGCTGTCGTTGATCTCGGCATTAAAGTCTCGTGCTCATGATAACATGGTGGTGCCGGTTCGAGAAAACTCATGGAATGTGATTTTACTTGGTTTGTAAGGACTTTTTGATCTTCTGGCTCAAATTGGACAACGGTCCGCTTTCACACTGCACTTCATGCTTGTACCGTTCCGGTATTCCCAGTGTCTGACTCTCATTCCACGGGCCAAGGTTTCCATGTTCCATAAATAATTTGCACGATCAAGCATACCTGGGCGGGGACTCGGATCTGCGTCTAGACTGTAGGAGGCCTAAAAATAGTGAATGTGTCTCTCGTCGTCATCGTTAGAGTAATTAGTCACCTAGGCCCGAAGACTGAGCACAGATTACGTAGCGGCCAAGCTCGGGTCTCACTTCTCGGGGAAGCCGCCGCCGCTGGACTGGCTGCTCTGCCCGGTTGGTGGTCCCTGCCGCCATGCCGGATAAGGCTGGCAAGGGCGCTTTTAGGCCAGCTCCTGCCCCCGCCTGCATCATCAACCAAGGGAACTGCTCCGTACTCCTCCTACTAGGACCGGTAATATGGTGCCATAACCTTGGACATCTTCCTTTCAGCCCCCTGTTGTCTATCCATTGCGATTCCCCTGCACGGGCAGGCCCCCGTGTCCGCTTCTCGAGGGCATCAAGGTCCTATTCGGTGCATTGCCACTGGTCACCTTTCTGAGGTCCATCCATGACTTCCTTGAGCGTTCAGAGCCTCTGGGTTTCTTAATTGAGAACACGGAAGAGTTAATACGAGTACTTTTCGGTAGGTGCAACCGTGCAAGACGCACCCCCGACAGCTTCAGATCTAGTCGGAGAACATCCCGGCTATTGTTACCTTACAGCTGCTCCAATGGTGACCCGTGGAGAGTCTTGCTGAAGCTTGGAATATCGACAGAGAAGAATAGCGCGCCATTCCGCATTAAAAGAAAGTGAACGTCATCGCTCTCTTGAAGGTCTACCTACACCAACGTGTCCAAGATATAAATGTGCCCATATGCCGTCGTGGTCTTCCCGGTTGCTCTCGACCCCGTCGTCATCGAGCTCGAATGCGACCTACTCAAGCCAGGCAACCCTCACGGTGATACGCAGAGAAGTGCGCCGATACCCATCGATTATGCCGTTCCCGTGATTGATCCTATGCACACGCCCCCCGGGCCAACACCTCACCGGCGCACACACGCTCGCTCGCTGAGCCATCCCTTCCCGTCCATCTTGCCGAGCAACGCCAAAAGGAGTGACAAGAAGGTTACGAAGAAGGATTTTCTCGATTCAGATGATGACGATGAGGTGACCTACGTCCCCGAACCGCGATCCAGTAGCCCGCGGAAACGATGGACGCCAGCAGAGGACTTTGTGAGCGGGAAATGCATGACATGCAATTCCACCGTGCGATGGCCGAGAAACTTGAAAGTATTCAGGTGTACAGTATGCCTGACAGTCAACGACTTGGAGCCTTGCCCCGCCTCCTACGATCCCCCACTTGACCATGGCCATCCTCCTCCTCCCCCTCCAAAGGATGACTCCTCGAAGACCACCCTGCCAGGTACGTCATTGTGAGAAGCCCTTCTTAATCTGAACAGGTTCTTACAATTCCTTTAGCGGCTCCGTTGTCTATCGAACGAACGCGGGCTATTATCGATCACTGTCTGTCGGTTTACCTACGTAGCAAATTAGATGGTCGTCAACATCCGTCGTCTGCGCCTTTACACCGTTTCCCAGAGAAGACCAGTGTCCAGCAGCATGCTACAGATCACCCAGAGCCATGGCGGTTCCCTGCAGGTCCAGGCCCAATACCAAGCCCTACGAAGAGACAAGACAGCAGATTCCTTACGACGCCGTCGATCGATACACAACGGAAAGACCCTCGTGCCAGAAGCCGTTCTAGTTCCGATACCCCGCCCGTACGGAGAATTGATCGCTCCCCACAAGGGAGGGATCGATCACCTCATGGCGCTGAACAGAAGGGCCATCCCGAGAGTCGCCCGTCTATCTTTCGGCCTCTCGAGGAATACATAATCAGTTCCTTCACAGGCTGTGACTGTCTGAATATGTCATTCTTGACACCCCGCCCATCGCATCGAACTGCCAGCGAAAGCAATCCAGTAAAGGCGAATCCCGAACCGTCATCCCAGCCCAATTCTCAGGATGTACCAGTCTTCGAACTCGATGCAAAGACTTTGCTCCTGGGAGATGTCGCAGAAAATTCCTCCTGGTGGATGGGAGGTCGACCCCGCCGTCATGATATTAAGGACCTGCACGCGAGAGACAAATCCCCGGCCCCGTCCAAATCCCGTGTGACATCAAGGTCTCCTCGAATCGAATGGGCGGAACTGGCTGAATGGTATCGCTTGGTGATCAACGTAGGGGATTCATGGAGGGACATGTGGGCTGCGATGGCCCCGTCTGATACCAGTGGACAAGGTTTGGAGAGAAGGAAACGCTGGGAATCAGTTGACTTGGCTGTTCTGGAGAAGGAGATCAGCGACGCGCGTATACATACTCAACGGACGCTTCTCAAAGCAACCGAGAATCTTCTGAAGCGGCCTCGACGTCCACTCCAGCGTCCCGAGAACACCAGATTCCTTCTCATGTTGCTTGCAAATCCTTTGTTGTTTTCCTCCACTTCATCCCAAACCCAGCGTTCTGGGACGGCGGGACCGCCGAGCGGAGAGCAAGGATCGATCACCAACTTTAGCAGGCCATACAATCCGGCCGATCACAACCCAGGTCGGCGAGGAGAAGCGGCACCTGCCAAGTCAAAGTCGGGAGGGCCGGGCCATCATTCTGGTATCATCAAAAGGATCCTGGGTTTGATTTCGAATCTGCCCAACGATTGTCACCACTACCTGATCAGCTGGTTCTCGCGTTATTCGGAAGGACAATTTGAAAAACTCGTCAACCTTGTTGGAGGGTTCGTCACCTATCGACTGATGCGACAGCATGGACAGCAGCGGAGTGAAACTGCCAAGCCATCGTCTAATGGCCTGGTCCCAAGCCTCCCAGACACTCTGGGAAACACTCACGCAGCACAATTACATGCGGCCCTCAATGGACGATCTCCCTCTAAGCCCCCCAATGACGGCGGCAGACGACTCATAGTCTACAATGAAGATTGGCAGATTCGGGCAGCCGCACGAGTGATGGCGTTGCTGTTTGCAGCGAACAATAGCAATATTCCCCGAAAGCGCGATGGCGTCCTTTATGATCCGAAAGTGCCGAATCCCGGGCTCGCGGCTAAGCACCATGCTTACAGTCATGGCCAAATGATCCCCATAAGCTCGTTCTACAATACACTACTGGATTACTCTGATTTGGTTGCCGATTTTGAAACGTGGGAATCCAGGAACGGGAAGTTCTCCTTTTGCCAGTACCCATTCTTTCTCAGTATCTATGCGAAGATCCGGATCCTGGAATATGATGCACGTCGCCAGATGGAAATCAAAGCGCGAGAGGCGTTCTTTGACAGCATCCTCAGTCGCAAGGCTGTCAGCCAGTATCTGCTTCTCCGAGTCCGACGAGATTGCCTGGTCGAAGACAGTTTACGGGGTGTCAGCGAGGTGGTTGGGTCCGGCCCAGAAGAGGTCAAGAAGGGTCTGCGGATCGAATTCATTGGCGAAGAGGGCGTCGATGCAGGAGGACTCCGCAAAGAGTGGTTTTTGCTGCTTGTGAGAGAGGTCTTCGATCCTAATCATGGTATGGCGTCGACCGCTTTCCAGGTATGTGATGGTTAGAAAATGGCTGCTCACAACGATTTAGGTCTGTTCATTTACGACGATGATTCTCATTTCTGCTATTTTAACCCGTTCTGCTTCGAATCGTCGGAGCAATTCTTCCTGGTTGGGGTGCTGTTGGGTCTGGCGATCTACAACTCGACGATTCTGGACGTCGCTTTACCGCCGTTCGCCTTCAAGAAGCTTTTGACTTCGGCACCAGCGCCGAGTGTCTCTTCTTCCATGTCGACATCGAGAAACACGTATACGTGCACGCTTGATGATCTTGCTGAATACCGGCCAGCATTGGCCAAAGGGCTGCGGGCCCTGCTTGAATTCGAAGGAGATGTCCAGGAGACTTTCTGCTATGACTTTGTCGCACAGATCGACCGCTATGGCCAACGCATTGAGGTACCTCTCTGCCCTGGTGGTGAGAAGAGACCCGTAACGAACGCCAACCGGCACGAGTTCGTGAATCTGTATGTCCAGTATTTGCTGGATACGGCTGTCCAGAAACAATTTGAGCCTTTCAAGCGGGGGTTCTTCACCGTGTGCGGAGGCAATGCCCTCTCGCTGTTCCGGCCCGAGGAAATTGAGCTCCTGGTGCGCGGCTCGGACGAACCTCTGGACGTGGCCTCGCTGCGTGCGGTTGCTACCTACGAAAACTGGCCCAGCGCGGACCCCGAGTCTGAGCCCGCGGTCCGATGGTTCTGGGAATTCTTTGCCGAGTCATCGGCCCAGGACCAGAGGAAAATCCTGTCGTTCATCACCGGCAGTGATCGGATCCCGGCGATGGGAGCGACGAGTCTGAGCATCCGGATATCCTGCCTTGGGGAAGACTCGCCCCGGTACCCCATCGCGCGCACCTGTTTCAACACCTTGGGGTTATTCCGCTATTCTACGAGGAAGAAGCTGGAGAGTAAGCTGTGGGGAGCTGTGGTGAATAGCGAAGGGTTCGGGTTGAAATGATGGGCGGATGAGATCTTCCCGCGATCCCAGGTAGAGGAATGTGAGATGGAATGCCCCGGTGGCATTGTCACGAAGCATGTAATTATTGCAAAGGTATCATTATCGGTAGCGCCAGGAATGGCCTGTATGACGATTGTTCTTATCCTGAAGAAAATATTGAGAATTGACCGATGGTTGAGCCATGAGATGGACATCTTCACAAGGTTACCCCTGAACACAACCCCATTGTAATAGTCCTGAAAATGATGATGTGGGTCGTTAGGTACCTGATTACAGCCGCGGTGACACACCAGTCAATGCTGTTCCACCTTCTTGGATAGAATTAGATGAGGTATCTAAGAAGGGGGGAGTTTTGTTTACTAATTTAGTTGGCTTAGAGTGGGGTAGCAGTCTAGTCATAGCTCAGGGGAACAAGCTCGCGAGAAAGCAAAGTCGATAAACAAGCTCAACTTTTTTTTTTCGTTTTCTCTCCTTTCCAAATTTTATTGTTCACCGCTTCGTAAAATTTTCCAGAATCCCGTCTCTGCCAGGAACTCGGGGCCTAAAAAAAGCACGGCTTGGGCTCGCTATCGCTGCCAAGCCATGGGAGGGGAGTTTGTTAGGGAGCCAAGTGGAGCCCGGAGAGGCCACGCGGGGTAATTTGTCGCAGGAAAAGAACACGCGAAAAAAGATTCTGCTGTCCTCGTGACTTGGGATAGCAGCGAAAATGGATTCCTGCTAAGCCTTCCTGGGTACTGGGGGACCCGGGAGCTGGATTGCGCACACCGCCGGATCTCCCCATCTAAACCATTCTTGTGCCTGTAAGAACATCCAAGCTTCCCCGTTACGGTGCCCGAGTCTAGAACGTCCCGACTCTCTCGGGACGGCGTGTCAGAAAAAGTGGACGGCAGGCCGATCTAGTACCGTACTATGCCCTGTAGCGCATTATTCTTTGCGTCTTTTTTTCCAGCGTAGTTCAAAGTTTTAATGATTCTCCATTTTTTTTTGTCCGGGGAAGAGGGATCTTCGTCCCGCTAGTTGGCGTGCAGCCACTGCAGCCAACTCAACGACAGTGCAGGATGCCTACATATGAGCTGCGTGGGTAGGTACAGAGTATGTACAGGACATATTTTTTTATGCTTTTTAGGCCCCTGAATAAGTGATCGACTTTGATTCTCTCTGCCGTAGCTGTGAGGAAGCGCACATGTCGCGACTAACGTATTTTAATGGTCATGTGCCGACTCCGTATAGGATCAGTTTGGTTGCTCGCTGGGACCGGCACGGCGGGTTCGGATTCCAGAGGAATCGGGCCCTTGATCCAACACACCTTGTAGGCTTGTACAGGGGCGGACCGGAGCCGGTGGTCCATGACACGGCGACAATCATCGCGGTGACTAAGCCACGCTGGATGAGTTTTCCTGCAGCGCTGTGCTTCCGTATGGATGGGCAATTGGGCCATGGCTGCCGTGTCCGGTGGCGATAACAACGGATCCCGCTGGCCATGCCCACTAACTCTGGCTGCTGCTGATCCCCAGCGATGCCAGTTCACCTGGGCGCTGACCTCATGTCTGTCCCTCACGACCCGCAGTGACTTGCGTGCAGTTAAGTACGCCGTATGCCCGCTGCTTCGTCTCTTTCTCAACTCCTCCTCCCTCGCTCACTCTTTCTCCCTGGGTAGACTGCCCTTCCCCTGTAATTAATCCCATCAGAATTTCTTCTTGGTGAGTGTGTTGCCCTGTTACGCACTGCACACCGCTTTCCCCCTCACAGCTTCTGGCTCCCCCGCTCCAAGGCGGGGATTCCACGTAGCTGCGCTTGACACGTCTTTCGTGCTGACATTGCCCAACTCCTCCCAGGTTTCCGGCTTGATTCTCCCTCTTTCAGAAATCGTCCCATAGACACCATGGCTGCCAACGTCCCCAAGACTATGAAGGCTCTCAGGTATGTTGCTGTGCTCTTCTTTTCGTTTCCCCTGCTGCGCTGCGGAATTCCAATTGGACGGGGAGCACTGCAGTTTCCCAACTCCTGGAGTTGCCAGTCTGGGAAATTGCTTTCTCGCGGCCGCCCGTCCTGGAATCTCCTTCCCCCACTCGTTCCCCCACGCTGTCTGCGTTGGGATTGCCCGTCTGGGAATTCAGACAGGATTTCCTACCGATCATGGGGGCGACGTCCCAGCAAGCAGCCTCGAAATTGTTCTCACTCTCCGATCCTCCCTTCAGTGCGGCTAACCGGGTCTCTCCCTCTTCAGATATGAGAAGCCTGAGACGTTTGCCGTTGTCGATATCCCTGTTCCCACTCTGCGTGAAAACGATGTCTTGGTAATGATCCTCCGGCTCCTCCGCTGCCTCCAGAATCGACTTGGAACGGCATTGCTGACTGGTGATTTGTCGACGAATTAGATCAAGGTCAAGGCTTGCGGTGTCTGTGGTACCGATCTGCATATTCACGAGGGAGAATTCATTGCCAAGGTGCGTATGTTTCGACGACTCGTTCTTCACTTCGTGTAGTGCCGCTGACACCCATCTCCACGCAGTTCCCTCTCGTTCCTGGTAAGCTCGTCCAAACTTGGTCGGTATTCAATTATTGGTGACTTTCTCTAATGGTCTTTTTCAGGCCATGAGACTGTCGGTGTTGTTGCCGCAGTTGGTCCCAAGGTCAAGGGTTTCGAGATCGGCGACCGTGTTGTTGCTGACAACTCCGAGCTTTGCGGCCAATGCTTCTACTGCCGGCGAGGAGAGGAGTTGCTCTGCGAGCACTTCGAGGCTCACGGTGTCACGATGAACGGCGGTTTCGCTGAGTACTGCGCCTACCCTGGTAAGTAAATGAAAACAGCCCTGTTGGCTCGATGAGCAGCAAGGTTGACAGACGACATAGCCGGCCGTGTCTTCAAGATTAAGAACCTCTCTGATGTGGACGCCACTCTGCTTGAGCCCGCTTCCTGCGCTGCTCACGGTCTGGACAAGATTGCCCCCAAGATGGGCTCGTCCGTCCTGGTGTTCGGCGCCGGTCCCACTGGTCTGGTAGGATTTCCCTAGTCCTGTAGATCGATTTCGATTGCTGACTCAGATTGTATAGGTCCTTGCTCAGATGCTCCGTCTGAACGGAGGATGCCGCGTCGTCGTCGCTGCGCCCGAGGGTCAGAAGATGGAGTTGGCCAAGAAGCTCGGTGCTGGTGATGAATACGTTGCTCTTTCTCGCACGAACCCTGAGGCTCAGTTTGAGAAGCTGAAGGCCGACAACCCGTACGGCTTCGACATTGTCGTCGAGGCTACCGGCAATGCCAAGATCCTGGAAGATGCCATTAACTATGTCCGCCGTGGAGGCAAGCTCGTCGTGTACGGTGTGTACGCGAACAAGGACCGCGTTACGTGGCCCCCGAGCAAGATCTGTAAGTTTGCATCTTGTATTTTTTTCTTTGCTGTTGACCGTACTGACTCCGTCTAGTCGGTGACGAGATCACCATTCTGGGTAGCTTCTCCGAGACCTACAAGTTCCCCGCTGCCATCGACTACCTGGACTCCGGCAAAGTCAAGGTTCAGGGTATCGTGAACAAGACCTTCAAGCTGGAGCAGTGGGAGGAGTGTCTGGCGTCGTTGAAGAACAAGAGCGCCATCAAGGCGGCGATCGTCTTTGACTAGATAGACAGCTTCATTGGATTTTGGAAAGATCTTAGAGGGCGATGACGCCATTCTTTAGACTCTTTGAATCCTCGTGTTGTTGAATGTCCGATAGTGTCATGAATGAACTAGAAAAAGAAGAGAATAAATAAAAGATTCCTGCATGATTTGTGCAATTGGATGAACTCTGTGTGTCTGACCAAAATAAGAAGAAATCCGGGTATTTATAGTGTAGTGTAGTCGATTAAATTGAGGACCTTGATAAACAACGAAGTTGAACCTGTTTAGCGTGAAAGTAGTTCTAACCCTTCTGAGCAGAGTAGGATTCTAATTGAGCTCCACAATTCATTCGTTTGGTAATGATACTAACAATGATGATGATGATGGTGATAATAATGTCATTTGCATTATTATGCATTCATTGAAATACTCTGCAATTCTGAGAAAAGAGAGAGACCTTGAATAAATAGTTTCATGTTGGACAAGCCCTGTCGTACAGTACAACTAATTAACTGCATCTACACAGAACAACAGGCTTGCTTACAAAAATAAATGCTGGTTGGATAACATACACACATAACCTCATAAGCAACCATGGATTATTGATTGCTATTGCTATTGTAGCTTGTGTATTACCTTAGGTAGGTTGGTTGCTTTGCTTTGATTTACGGGTATACTTCCGTATTACAGCTGACTTAATTAAGCCTTAGCCGCCACGAATAAATTACATAACCAACGAGCCTCAATCACATAACTACCGAACTAGCTACTAATTAGATCATTAACCTCGCGACGGCATTCCAACCACCATAATTTCTCTCTCCTTTTTCTTTCTGGCTTTTCATATTTTGCCGAGCTCCCTGTTGTAATTTGTTAAGTCAAGTCCACCATGGTCAAGCCCCTAACATTCAAAGGCGAAAAGCCCAAAAAACGCAAGCATCGCGAAACCGACCATGACCACCATGACCGCGTGAAGTCCGAGCAGAAGGAGCAATCCGCGACAGCAGCAGCAGCGGCAGAAGAAGACGAAACCCCCGACGACCAGAGCTGGGTCTCCGCCGACGTGCCCTCGGACATCAACGGCCCCATCATCTTCGTCCTCCCTTCCTCGCCCCCGACGTGCCTCGCCTGCGACGCCAATGGCAAGGTCTTCGCCAGCGAGCTGGAGAACATGATCGATGGTGATCCGCGGACCGCCGAGCCGCATGATGTCCGACAGGTTTGGGTCGCGACGCGGGTGGCTGGTAGTGAGAGTATTAGCTTTAAGGGACATCATGGGAGGTGAGTACATAATCCATCCTTCCTGGCATTATTATTCTGGGTTGAGAAGATAGCTAAACATTTGTGTTTTCTTGTTTGCAACAGATATCTCAGCTGCGACAAATACGGCATCCTCAGCGCAACCGCCCCTGCCATCTCGCATTTCGAATCCTTCCTCGTCGTCCAATCCCCCGATACACCGGGGATGTTCTCCTTCCAGACGCACGGCGGCGACTCGGAGACCTTCCTGGCCATCAAGGAAGGACAGGGATCATCGAAGACTACTGGTGGCGCAGCAGTGGAGATCCGCGGAGACGCGACGAGCATCTCGTTCGAGAGCACGATGCGCGTGCGCATGCAGGCCCGCTTCAAGCCCAAGGTCAAGGCGTCCAAGGAGAGCAAGGCCCGCGAGAGGATCAGTCGGAGGGAGCTGGAAGCCGCCGTCGGGAGACGTCTGGAGGACCACGAGGTGAAGAGGCTCAAGAAGGCGCGCAGAGAGGGCAATTTCCATGAGGAGGTCCTCGATGTGAGGGTTAAAGGGAAACATGACAAGTTCGCGTCGTGATTTTTTCTTCCACCAACCTGGGCAATCCTTTTGCGATTGGATATCTGTCTATACGTGCGTTGTGGTCAGAAAAACACAGAGCAGGGAAGAAAGATCACAATCGTGCGTTCTGCTCGTCAAACATTATTTCCGCCAACCCTCTTGCTGCTAGCAAAGCAAGTGTTGAGAGTTGGCCGGAAAGCAAGGCAAGGCAGGCTGTCAGGTGAGGTCAGGTCAGGTCTGACAGTTATTCTGCTTCTTCCGATGGAAGCAAACCGCACCATGGACAGACGTCAAGGAAGAAACTTTTCGAGTCCTTTACAAGAGCGAGAGCCGGCTCATTCTAGGGCGATGACTTGCGTTGCTGAGCAGCTACAGCTACCTGTTTTTGATCTGAACAGCATTATGTGCTGTTGTTGCGCTGGAAGAAAGTCTCGGCATCTTCAGATGCCAGCAAGATGCTGGATTTTCGCAGAACATTGGGTGGTCTGATGGAAGCTATAAATCATTATGAGCAGACACACAGACTTGTGGCTCACTCGAAAGAGGGTATCAACTCTATTTACAAATCCTCTATCATCAGGATATCCTCCATAACAATACAATAATAATACATATATGCTGGTCAACAGCTTGTAAATCATGCAGAATAACAACAAATCTTGCAAAACCGTTGCGCGCCAGTGCTCCAATCCAACTTGTAGATCAAAATCTAGGAATGAATTTTCCCACAAGCGTTTTCCCTTCCTGCTTTGTTAGAAACGTGTGACATTGAAGTTGAATGAGTTAAGTGTCACCGTCTGACGCAATAAAGGTCAAAAGGTGCGGAGGTTAAGCGGACTCACATTTCGGTGGATTTGGTAGATTTGCCGTGGTAGGCTGCGTATGCGGTCTTCGTTCATCAATATCTGTTCGAGGGGGCCCAAGAGGTGGCCCAAGCAACGCCATAGCCCTCCTTTGTATCATCTCCCGTCGAACTGCATCGTAAACATCATCAGCCTGGTTTTGCTGCTCAACTGGCGCTGGAACAGCGATCTGTCCGGCTTCTCTGTTCATATCTGGATGTGCATTGCTGTCGTGGGCAGTCGAGTTGGAAGGCCTTCTGAAGATGTCAAGCAGCGGACGACTCCAAAGACGGACTCGGTTAAAAATGCCCATTTGAATCCCAGGTCTTTCTCTCTCATGGCTTCGATGAAGTCTTCTCATGCGCTGCTCACGATGGACCATGTAGTTGGTTACCTGGTCGGAAATAAAAGTCGGCGGAAGAACGCTCTTCTTGCATACAGGACAGAGACTGCTCTCTCGCATGAGAAAGGGGTCGATACACTCGGGATGGAAGATGTGCGTGCATGGGAGCTCGCGAATAAGTGAAGAACCAGGCGCGAAATCCTCGAGACAAATGGCACAGGTAAGTTGCGAGAACGTGAGCCGATTAGTCCGCGGAGCAGGGTTGAAATTTGGCCAAATCTCCTCGAGAATTGCTGATGATATCTCGTCCTCATCCTGCTCACCACGAGCTGACTGGGAACCGGAAGCTGCCGCCACGTCAACAACCGGCTTTGCAGCAACTGGGGCAGGTTTAGAAGGATCGTCGACAACTGAACCGGGTGGCGTTTTGTCTGAGGGTGACGGAGGTTTCGTGGTAGAAAGATCCGGATATATATAGAGCGGTAACCTGACCAGCACTTGAGGTGGAACGACCATGCGCTTGATACCCAGGTGTTCGAGATCAATTTCTCCCGCAATAATTCTCCTTCGCAGATTTTCACGGCGCCTTTTCTGCATATATCTTACAGAGAAATAAGCAAGGATCATGACCACGAATAGAATACCCAGGATGGCAAGAATAAACACCCAGATGCCCGGCACGGGTGTTGCATCGCTAGGTTCTAACAGGCCATCAGTAAAGCCACCCGACAGGGTATTTTCGATACTTCAAGGCATTACCTAGGTCGAGGAGGGCGTATAGCCGAGCGCAATTCGCTGGTGCAAAAGTCTCCATTATTTCTGGATCAAGTTGAGATTCTGTTGATCCTCCCGAATACTTAGCCAGTTCTTGCATCAACTTCGATCCTGCGGGGCCCGGAATGGCGTAAACAGGGTATTCATTGTCCTTTTTCCACCGACCTCCATCTCCCAGACTCCATATAGGGCTGCTAGGTGGCGGCGGCTTCCCTGTATCTTGGCTTTGGGGTTGATAGAAGATGAGGGCTCGAACAGAAGCTCGCCTCGACGCAGCGAGATAAGCCTGAGTGCAATTCCGGGAAACCCACGGAGCAAGCCCTATTATATCATGGTCGTACTCGGGAAGATCTCTTTCTCGCGTGACGTTTTGGGGAATAAACGGTTCCGTGATCTTGTTACACACGTCTCTAGGGTCGAGGCTCGGGACGAACAGCAGCCCTCTGAAGGAATCCTCCGCGGGGGGATTGTTGCTGGAGAGTGTCTGGATCGTCCCATCAAGAACGTATCGAAAAGAAATACTTTGCTGCGCCCATAGACACCATCAATTTCTGCTACAATTCTACAACATCCAGGCGGGGAAAACAAGAGCGTGATACTTACATTCACATACGGACGGCCGCATCCAATAGTCCCCGGTCCCGCGAAAAGGGTGACTGCCGTCGTGATTGTTTGCGCAGCTAGCCGATGTGGCACACCGTTAGTAAACAGCATCTTGGAATGCGAATCTGGGCAGGGTAGATCCCAGAAGGGTGAATGTGACGATGTTGGAGTCGCTTGGCCTGGAAGCACCTACCCATGGCGCGCTCAGCTGCGTAAGCATAATCTGGGATCTGATGGGAAAGAGCATCCTGAGAAATCCGAATTAAGCCGGGACAATAAGCACTTTAAACATACGAAATGGAGGATTGGAAACCGCGTCGCTGCCATTCCGACAGTGCCAGAAAGGGGAAAGAATGCAGATAAACACATGTTTATAGATATAGGAATGCAGGAACAAGGCTAATCGCTGATTGGGTGAATGAGCCTGTCAGTCTTCCAGGTGGACCCTTGAGTAATCGAGGCATCCCAGAATGTCGAAAAGGATCTGAATGGCATTTGAAACATCTGGGGCCCCTTTGCGTTGTTCATCAACTGCAGAAAGCATCTCACGAAGCACCGGACACCTGCAGAGGCGACCAGGGATTCTCCAGAATCTGTCTGTAGCTTAGGAAGGGGGAAAAAAAAGGAACAGAAGACTGTTCCATGATCTTTCGCATCCAAGATCAGTGTCATCATCAACAGGGCGGATCGACGCGCCACATCTTCAGAATCAGAGCGCGTGCCGAATACTGGGACTGTTGATAGTGTTGATAGTGGAGCAAAGGCTGGCACCCCGATCGTGGAGACATGCCGAGACCTGCGTGAGAAGTATAGGTCGTAAACATTGCCTCGGCGCTCATAGCTAAGTAAGACATGCCTAGAACTTGGTGCTCAGAACCAGAGCAGCATTCGACCGTCTTGAGTGGAGACGTTACTGGCATTCTCCTTGATCTCGAGCATCGACAGCTGTCTGGGAGCTTTCAGATGCCAAGAGAGGCTAACGCGATCTGACGCGATCGTGACTGCCCCTTCTGTGGCTTCCGATTTGCCGCCCGCCCTGTTTGATTTTGGACGCGGGGAAGGAGCGATGCAGCACGTGACCGGCGCAGACAACATCTCAGCTGCCTTCGTCGCCGCTGCAGCCCTCGCGAGACGACCATCGTCCTTTCCCCGCACCCTCATTTGTCTCTGAAGCGTCTCTCATCTGAGTGGGCAATGACAGTATTTCTGGGCGCAGATGGTGTCCAGAACCTGCTGAAGTGAAACGAAGTGAGAACGCGCCCAACCGTTGTTGATGGCGAGATGGTCTATCAGGAACCAAGGGTGTGATCAGTGACTTGACAACCGCTTCCTCTTCTCGATATTTCAGAGCTTGAAACCGCCTCTCGATTTGGTAGTTGCTCTTCTATTTCGAACGGACAGAGCTACCCCCTCCATCCTTTCACCCTCACGCCGCTATCATGCCTCTCGCGAACAAAGGCAAGGGCAAGGGCCGCGAAGTCAGACAGTCACGCAGTCGCAATACTACACCAAGCTCGGGCCTGAGCTCGAGCACTACGACAGGAGCTTCGTCCGTCCCTGGCTATCTCGATAACGATGTCTCCAAACTGTTCTCGTCATCGACCGTCCAATATGATGACATCCTGGAGCGTCTCGGTGGCGGTGGAACAATTCCAGACTCGAAAACTTTGGAGTTGCTCGGCGAACATCTTAAAACGTTAAGCCAACTGGCTGATGCCCGAGGCGATGTTTGCAACGCCGGGATGCGAGAGCTGTCCCAGAAGCGCAAAGAGGTGCTGGAGGACCAACAAGAACAGATGGAGCGGGATGCCGAAGAACGGATGAAGATGAAGAGAGAGGCTGAAGATGATGAGGATGGCAGTCGCGCTCTCAAGGGAGGAAAGCTGAAGAAGCGCAAGGAGCGGGCCTCAAAGGAAGACCGTCCGCTGGCCGTTGGAGCTCACGAAATCACAAGGCAGGATGGGGGAGAATTAGGTGAGTTGTTTCTGCCCGAAACGCCACGTTTTAATGCAAGTCTGGAGCTGGTTGAGGAAGCAGGGTATGCTGATTGATTCCTCTAGGCGAACGGAAACGTCATCGCGAGACTACTTCTCCCTCCTCCAAAAAATCCCGAAATCTGGCCTCGGGCAGCACATCCTCTCTGTCCCCACCATCAATGGCATCTCCGCCTCCTCCTGCTTCTGGCGATGCTCCAGAGGCAGTCGGTTCACCATCTTCAGACGACAGTTCAGAATCGCAGCAGCCGGAGCCAGCGGCGGCTGTTCCTCAATATCAGGTCTTTGGACCAGACCCATTGAAATTCCCCGACCCAACCATTTATCATATTCGTGAAGTTACGCCCGGTATGACTGATGAGGAGAAAAAAGAAATTTACTGCGTGGCCGATTTTCCCAAGAGTGATTTGAGTCACTTAATGGCGGGAACGCCGCCAGACAAAGATTTTAGCAATTCGAAGCCGACCAACCAGGTTAGCGCAAACACCTTCGCATCCTATATCGACCCTTATGTCCGCCCCTTGACTGAGGAGGACATCGCATTCTTAAAAGAAAAGGTACGTTTCTTTCTCTTTTCGCTCTCTTGAATGACCCGGTTAACAGTTGACTAGGGAGATCGTACAACGCCTTTTGTGATGCCGCGACGAGGAAAGAAGCATTACACCGAGATATGGGCGGAAGAAGACGGTGCGCTGGGTGTTGATCAGTCGAATCCTGAGCGAGAACGCCTTCCGTTAAACCAGGGTCGTGGTAACATCGAACAAGTGACCGATGAAACCGCCGAGACAGACAAAGTCTCTGTCGGGCCTCTTGTTAGCCGCCTTTACTCCCTTCTTCGTTATGAGCATCGTGCTCCTCCAGATGAAAATGCTGCGAACGGAACTACCAATGGAGACACCTCCACGAACGGCCAGATGAATGGTGACTCTGCTATGGATCTAGATCATCCCACGAGCGAATCGGAAAACAAACCTCAACCTTCTGCAACATCTTTCCCCGATGCTTCTCCAAGCAGTTTCAAGGTACCGGCTCCTAAACTTGAACACGCCCAGTTGGACGAGCGTCTAAAAGCCGAACTCCGTTATGTTGGCTTTCTTGGCCCCGACGACAACCCTGATTTTGACGCGCATTACGATGATGACATCGCACAGCGTCTGCGGTTGTTGCAGAGCGAGCTGAAGAAACAAATGATCATCAATGGTGCCCGCAAGGCTCGACTTTTGGAAATCGCCCGTGAGCGTATGGCCTATCAGGAGTACACTACGATCCACGATGACCTGGACGCCCAGGTGCAACAGGCATATTTGAAGCGCACACGTACACTTGGAAAGAGCAAGAAGGGCTCACAAGCCAAGCATCGACCCGGAGGCGCAGGTGGCGGCAGTCATGTCGTCAGCGCCGCAGGGGTTGGTCGACCGGGAATTGGAGATGTCGCGCGGACGCTCATGGACCGTCGCAAGCGTTGGCGCGACTGCATCGGCCCTGTCTTCAAAGATTGCAAGACCACTGTCCCGGGTAAGGACGAAAGCATTTTCGACCCGGCCATAATGGCGGAGTACGAAAAGGCAGAATTGGAGGGATGGGATGAGGAACAAGAGTGAGCAAACTCCTACAAAAATGGGGTTTCGTTTGAAATCATGCATTCGATTTAGCTTATGCTACACGAATATCGTATTGTAATTTCTTTTGGGGCCTCCCCGCCACAGGTTGTACATAGTTTCGTGACACGGTACATTCGCATGGGGAATAAAGGGAAATGGGACGTCAATCATCATAGAACGCGGGGAACAGTTACATTGATTAGGCGTTGGAAGTTGAAATCTTTTCTGGGTGAGCAGGTGAGTTGAAGACTTATTTATTTAATGCATGCATTTTTGTGATTTTATTCTCTCTTCATCTCTTGCTGGATAATACAATTATTTATCATCATCATCACCACCACCAAATCTCCTTCCCATATTGAATTTATTGGACAAGACCATGCTAGGTCCTTGAAAAGATAAACAAAAAGATGAACGTGTTTATGTGCTTGATATCAACGGTTCATCGATGAATAATTTGCACCTCGTAAGGATATTTCTTCAGCCGGGCCATCAACTCGCGTTCACTGATCTCCAGCTCGGTGCAGATCTGATCGAAGCAGTGCGTCCCGTCGAGATATTTGGCCAGTGTCGCGTTGCTGATGCCGTATCCGTCGTCGTCGTCTTCTTCCTCCTCTTCCTCGTCGTTGTCGCCGGATCGGGCTGTGCTGCTGTGGAAGGATGTTGCGGTTGCGCCTTGGTCTTCGGGGTGGTGGTCATCGCCGCCGCTACCGCCGAGATGGCCGGAATTAGGCCTGCTTGTGGCTGTATCTTGCCCAGAGACAATTGAGGAGGGTTCACCGCCTTTGACGGAAGATGCTGCAGTGGAAGTAGGGGCTGTGTTTGGGCCCGCAGAAGACGGAGCGGGCAATCCCGTAGCATAGGCGTACTTGTGCACCCGGTACAGGAAGCCCTTGATGATGCCAAACGTGATGAAGCGGCGGACGTCGATGTTGGCGAGCTCCTGGCTGTGTTGCGCATACCACTGCTTGACACTTTGGCCTTGTCGCAAACTCGCATAGAGCTCAACAATGCCGACCCCGTCCACGACCTTTCGCTTGCCGCCCGGCTCGCTGGCGCCGTTCCCGACAAGCGGCCAGATGTCGTCGCCGTCGTATCGATGGCCTCCGGGAGGATTGCCGGTCATGTCACTGCGAGAGCTGGAGGTGCCCGGGGCTCCGGCACTGGATGGGGCCATGGTGATTGGGCCAGGAGCAAAGCGCATGTTAACGTAACGGGCGCATTCCCGCTGCATGCCTTCATCGCATGCAATCGTTGAGCTGAACTGCGCGGTGGGGGCGTAGATGGCGGAGAAGGAGAAGATGTCCAGGAGGAAGATGCATCCGTAATACAGGAGATGCTTGATCGCACGGTATGTGAGAGAGAGCTCAACGTCGGCGAGGATCGAGATGATGCGGACACTGTTCACACCATTGATATATGGGACGATCTGTATGCAGATATATCCGTCAGATTTTTCCAATGGCATGATAAGAGAGACTTTCAGGAGCGAACTATCTGGTCCGGAGACAGGGAGGAAATAGCTTACTTTCTGCATGGTAAGGTCCCAATTCTCATCAATGAAGGTCTCATAGCGAACGGTGAAGAGCGGCACATGCCAGGCTTTGACGGATGGGGGTGCCGGGTAGATAGGGAAGAGCTTGATATTCAAGGTGTTTAATTCATCTGACACAGCCTATATCAGCCAAGAGCACCAGCAACAGAATTTGTTTTATCTTTCTCCTACCGATTGGGATCATGCATTCGCTGTAATTGTTCAGGTCCTCCATCAGCGTCTCGCACAGGCTGTATATCTTCCCCTCACCGCTTTTCGAGAGGTCTCGAGTCAGAAATCCGTTCTGCTCCTCCAGCCCATGCATGAGATCTGCCAGCTTCTGGACAACGCTCTTGTACATGGTGAAGTCCTCATCCTCGGCCAGGACGAGGCAGAAGTTGAAGATGAACTCGTTTCGGTCATAACGCGGCGACTTCATGCAGATGGGATAGCCCAGGATGCGGTACCCGTTCGTGCACACCTGCAGGAGATTACCGCAGAGCTCTTGCCGGGGGATCACGAAGAAGGATATATCGGAGAAGGTGAAGAAGGGCTCCTGGCCCGGAGGAGCCGTTGCGGAGGGGACAATCGCGCCATCGGGGACTTGGTGGACGACTTTCGGACCTGCATCAGGTGGCTTTAGTTGCTGTTGCTGTGTAAAAAAGAGAGGAATTTCTCTGACCTTCCTGGGTGTCAAATTTGCTGTAAAAGATGGCCTTGATCATGGTGGGTCAGTCTGATTGCAGTCGAGCTGCCGCATTCCAGCGTCAGGCCTCCCGATGAGGAGTGCACGGTGTCTAGGATTTAGGACATAATTGATAACGACGATAATAAGTCAGTATAAAAGGCATCAAACGCTCCGAATGATGCGTATTTTGCAGGCTAGGCCATCTCCTTCAATTGATGAGAAGCGCGAACTGTTCTGTCGAACGCGGGGAAAAGGTTAGCTCTTAGCTTCGGAGATCACTTCTTTCTGGGCCAATCAGTCAGCATGACCAGAGACGCCTTAGATTAGGTAGGCACTGTTACCGTTCTATAACATCAAACAATAATAATATGCTGTAACAGTTCGTATTTTCCTCTTCTTCTCTCCTTGTAGGTAAGACAGGATGTTAGCGACCCCGCAATCCGCCCGATCAGGTTAACCGCCGAATTTCGGTACCTGAAAGGACTATATTCTTGGAAGGGTTTGAGAGTACTTGATCCGATAAAGCATAGGCGTAACTTTAAATGGGTATGTAGACAACCAATCATATCATATTAAATTTTTCACTTTTTCGACTGCATTACGGACTTTCAGAGGGCTGTCCAGAGCCTTTACTTAGGTCTTACATCAAGGTTTGTGATAAAAAAATCGCACACATGTTCCAAAGTCCTCAAGTAGGCATTTTCTGCGCCGAAAGTTAATGCGAGCCCGGCTAGCTCAATTGGTCAGTAGCGTAGGACTGTATGTTATCTCTCATTGGCTATTTTCCTGTATTGCCTCAACTAACATAAAATGAATAGTTTAATCCTAAGGTTGCGAGTTCGAGTCTCGCGTCGGGCGGCGACTTTCCCCCACTGGGGATATTTTTTTGGCCCTAACTTTGCCGTGTGAAGGCTATATACAATGGAGGAGGTAGTCTACAGAAAGGAGACTTGCTGGGTAGGTCGAGCCTGCATTGAAGGGTCGACCTTCTTGATATACATATTCACGCAATCGAGCTACATTCCACTGTAGATGGCTTGGTTTAGATCGGAGAGGTCCAGCACCGGAAGTCATACACATGGACAGGTCGTATTTGCGGACCTGATTGCTGAGAATATATGTATCTTCAAAGATGGTCCCTTGTCGCAGAGTAATAGCAATGCAGAGGGAGCATTCAAGAGGTTTGTTTGACAGAAATAATAATCATAAATCCAGGTGCGATGAGCAATTACCTAAATGGGTAACTGTCTTATTTGGTCAACTGTCGTATTTTTGCTAGAGAAAACTTCCTAATTGTCGACATGGATTGTCACAGAGAGATCATACAGAAAAGTTTTGAACGTCCTGTTTGCTGACGATAAGATTGAGGACAACATGATAATTGCCAAGGAAATGGGACGCTGTATTAAATAGGGTCATTAAAATGATAATATTCCAGTAAGCAATCGCTGGGGTATTTGGTGAAACTCAAAGCAGAACCAGGGAAAAGCAAAAGAAAAACTCCAGTCTATCCATCAGTAAAAGAAAGGGAACGAGCCAGATAAAAATAAACTCCCTGTCAAAGATATTTCACCTCCATAAAACGCCGCATGGTAATGGAATTGTTAGGACCGAAGATCAAACGCCACAAATGCAGAGCTTGGAAAGAGAAAAGGGAAACAATCACCATGTTTTCGAATCAGAAATCATCCAGTCTAATAAAGGGACGCTTGAAATCGATGCTGAAATCAATGCAAAGATGCGCTTGCGCTGTTCGATTATCTGGCCGCGCCAGGTGCGTTGGACGGATTTCTCAGTGACGAGTTGAAGCTAAGACCCATGGTCGACTGAGTAGGCAGACGAAGTTGGCCCACCTGGCCAGCATTACTAGATGTCGGCAATGGAGAGGATTGGTTGCTAGACAAACGATTCAGGGGTTGGCCGCTCGTGATGGCCTGCAGCATGTCGGAGTAGTTGCCTCGTTCAACAGCCTCCTTGAGCCACTGCTCCCAGTCCTCATCCAGCGGTATATCAGCACCTCGTTCACGTGCCGCCGTGGCGTAGAGAAGGCGCTGGTTGAGTTCGAGGCCATAGCTCTCCATCTCTTCATCGCTTGATTCCTCGTCCTCATCGTCAGACTGCGGACTAGTCCCCCTCGGAACGATGGGCACACCCGAAGGATCTCCTTCGACGACGGCTTCCTCCTCACTGTACGACTGCGCAGAATTGTCCGAATGGAATTCAATCGACGGTGGTGGTGGCGGCGTTGCGGGCCGGACGTTTTGGGCCGTGGTATCCAGCACTCTTACCCCTTCTTCCTTTTCGTATCTCTCCCGGGCCGATTTCGTCCCCTCCCATCGGCATAGCGAAGAAATCTCCGCTTCTGTGAGACCCAGCTCATCGAAAACCTTGAACAGTTTGCGGTGCCATGGAAAGCGACTCAGCCTCATCCGATGCGGGGGATACGAGTAGTCCAACCCGGGATATTGCGCTTCGATGCAGTCGAGGGAGCCATAGAAGGTCGAGGTCTCGATGCGGACTTCAGGGACAAGATTCCGCGTAATATGCGCCGAAAAGGACGCCGGGTCGGACGTTTTAGGGCGTGGGAATGTTGCGTTGTAGACCAGCTGAGCTATAGAGGGTTTATGCATGGTGAACGGGCAGACTAAGGCTTTGTGGTGGTGATCAGCAGAGACGTGAGGACAGTGATGGAAGACTTGTAGAGGGGTTTCACGAGAAAAGGTCCAAGTAGAGACGGAGAACAGGCAGACAAGGGGCTTTAAGCTCACCTTGTAGGCAGAGATGAGGAATGGAGAAGGCAGGCGAGACGGAGGTGCCTGGGCGGCGATCTCAGCAGAGAAGCCTTTCTGTCCCACAAGGAGCCACTCAGCACCACCCTGGAGAGACATGAAACCATTGAAATGGGAACTAACCACTGGATGTCCTTCTTGCACGGTGTCACCACTCAGACTCACCACGTTCCTCATCTGGGGATTCCAACAAAGCTCGGGTCGCGCAGTGGGGCCCCCAAATGAAGCGCCTCTAGTGATCCGACCGTTCTAAAATCGGAATGAGGCGCAATGATGCGGCGCCGATTCACAATAATGAAGGAGTGGCAGGGAGGGAGCCCCTCCAGACAAGAAGGGAAATGATGCTTTCTGACGTGTGGCTAGAATAATGGCTCCGAGCGACGTCAACAGCCGGACACGGACGAGCAGAGCGGCTAGTCCAGGAACGCAAGCAGATGACGCCCATCAACAACGGCTCGATCCCATGCCTCTGCCCGCAGTCGCACAGATGGGAGACAGAGGGCAGCCCTGGAGGGGCTACAGCGCCTTTTTGAAGGGTCGAGAACTGCAGTGCTGACCGAGTCGGTCTGACCTGCAGGCGACAACTCGCAAGTGACCAGCTCATCATCGCTGTCTGTTCTGCTTCTGACAGGTTACAGAGGCCTGTCTACGCGCCGCGACTGGACGCCCGCATCAACGCCGCCCTGGCCGGGCTGCTAATCAGAACGGCGCTCGCGTGGCCCCTCCGGCCGCCAGCAGAATCCCGCAGGCTCCATCTGGTTCTTGCAGGCCACAAAGTCTTCCTGTCCTATCCAGCCTTCGTGAATACTGTACGATACGGACTACACTGCGCGAGGTCATCTGGACTTTCCCCGCCTCCCCTCTCGAGATCGGTTCGCCAAGCTTAGCTGTATGTACAGTACGTGTGCGCTGCCAGAGTGGGACGGCTCTGTCGGGCATCAACTCTGCCAATGCGATCCTCTCTTTCTCGCAGGGAAAAACTGGCATGGATTTCATATGATCTCTGATGCGTGCTGAGACTCTCGACAAAAGACCCACCCGAGGTGTTGTATCCATAGGCTTTGCTCTGGCGAATTTAGGAAATTCCCAGCAGGGCCTTGTTGTTCTTCGCTATGACTAACTTCTGAATCCTTCTATAGTCCTCAATGCTAGCATCAAATGGCGTTTGACAAGCTCGTAGATACCCGTTTGAGAAAGTCTGCACCGGGTCTCCTGTACTGTACGAACAGCCCTCTCTGGCAGGATCATCTCATACATCGGAGTTGGAACTATTACAAGATAGTTAAAGAATGACAACTGATATCTCCATCCCTTGTAGCTGTATAGCGAGCTCGCATCGACAGTATAACAGTATTGGATGCCTGAGGAGTGAGGTCTTGGCGTTCCAGCGGGTAGAATCACCAACATCTAGAAATCCTTAATCTCCATCTCGCTCTCTAAAAGTTCACCTGTAATCTCTTTCAGAGATCACGATGTTAAATCAATATGCAGACTAGCAAGTGAGGTCATAGCCTTCAGCATGTCGACCTTCAACGGGATCGTGGAAGGTACGTTGATCGATGACCGGACAGAGATATCGAATTCACTGACCATGCTTCGAACAGAATTCCCCTTTATCAGGAGTGTGTTGAAACTCATTCTTAGCTCCAATAGTAAAGTACTAACGTTCTGGCAGTCGATTACTTTCGCAAGATCCCTGATAGGCCAGCTCCGCTGGTTTGCTTCCTCAGCCATGTTCATAGCGACCATCTGCAAGGCTTGGAGTCCTTGCGGTCACCCTTCATATACTGCTCAGCTGTGACAAGGGAGGTGAGTCTATTTCTTATTGCTGTTTGCATCCTAGACCTCACTTGCGTCTCTCCAACCATTCAGCCGCACTACACATGTAGATTCTTCTCCAGAGTTGAATTTCTACCTGGTTAGACCTATTTAAGAGAATTCTCCACTGAATCTGGATACAATGTAGTTGCTATTGCAAATTGAGAGATACCCTCATCGCATGAACTTTGCAAAAGGCATTCTGGAGTCGAGGAAGCAGCACTACGGGCACTTGGCGAAGCTGCTGGTCAGTCTCCTCTATTTATAAACTTGGCATAAACTCATTCTGGTAGAGGCCGATTCCGTTGAATACTCCCACCGATATCGAGCTGACCCCTCGCCAACGGATTCGAGTCACGCTGCTAGATGCGAACCACTGCGCGGGCGCGGTGATGTTCCTCATCGAAGGCGACGGCAAGGCGATTCTCTATACGGGAGACATTCGTGGTGAGTGTTCACTGCCCTCTTACGTGGTTCCACATCACAGTGAATTCACTCGAACAATGGCAATGTATTCGACCTATTGTTGACGACGTGACTAGCCGAGTCCTGGTGGGTGAACAAATTGGCCAGACACCCCGTCCTCATCCCGTACACCTGCGGCTTTAAACGCCTCGATACCATCTATCTTGACACAACCTTTGCCATCAAGTCTCACATCTACAAGACGTTTCCATCCAAAGCTGAAGGAATCAGGGAGCTCCTCGAAAAAGTCCAGGATTATCCGGACGACACCGTCTTTTATCTGAGAGCGTGGACATTTGGCTACGAAGACGTCTGGTTAGCGCTCTCAGCGGCGTTGAATTCCAAGGTCAGTTCGGCTCATACTCGTTGAGAACTATGCTAACGAGAATGCTAACGAGAACCAGGTTCACGTCGATAGATACCAGCTAGGACTCTATCAGTCCCTCTCGTCACGTTCTCACACAACGACCGGGTTTGACGACGCCCTCTTTCTCTGTGGCTTTCAACTGGGTAACAAGTTCATTCCCGGCTGCTTGACCGCGGACGAGAGTGCGCGAATCCACAGTTGCGAACCGGGAGATTTTTGCTCGACCATGGCCTCAGGAAACGCTGTCTTCATCACACCGATTGTCACCCGCACAGGCGACGGGTCGGAGGTGCCGGAAATAGGCGCAGGCGGAGGGAAAGGCGATCTGTATCAGAGCCACGAGCTCGAATTGCCGGACGAGTCGACAGTCCAGCAGCTCGAAAAACTGTGTCTGGAGCAGATTCAGGACGATAAAGTCCTATCCCAGACCAAACAAGCCTTGGTTTCTGCCTTCAAATCGAAGAACAAAACTCTGTCTCTGGATCAGTATGGACTGAAGGATGACAGCGACATATCTCTCAAGGAATTAGTAGCCATCATCAGCCACGGCCAGAAAGATCGCGCTGAAGGAGGCACTCCTTTGACTGGGCTCCGGGACAAAGACGGCCGTGAACTTCCACGTACTATTGTAAGTTTGGGCCCGCTGCTGTTTACGATGAAACGTGGCTAACCGCTCCATTTAGCAATTCCCTTATTCTCGTCACTCATCTTACTCTGAGCTCTGCGAACTTGTCGCCGCTTTCAAGCCCAAAGACATTTATCCCTGCACTGTCGATCCTGAGACGTGGAGTGAGGAGGTTTCTATGAGAAGCCTTTTCGGACATCTATGCTCCGGGGATGATTTTTCGCATGACAGATGCATGAGAGAGATGCTTGATCAGAACGAGTCGAGGCCCAGCAAGAGAGTGCGGCATGCAAGCTCGTCTATGACTTCGAGCCAACAGTCTAGCATTTCATATAACACGGATGATGACAGCAGTGCTACTGGAGATGGACTGGGTAGAGTCCAACATGCGGACCCGGTGACCAGCAGCGCCGACATTCTTCCCACTCAACAGGCTGTCTCTCACTCACATTCGCAGGGCGAAGACGCCATGGACAGAATCCGCAGCGTCAGAGACTGTTTGGAAGAAATGAAAGATCAGATGCTTTTCACCAATGGACCCTTGCCCGCATACATGCGGGTAAATCATGAACAGGCGGGGCCAGAGAAGCAGCAACATGCGAGGGAAGACCAGGATAACAGTCAGGAATCAATGATGTCCACAGATCCTACCAGTCAGACCAGCTGCCCGGAAAGCCAGCTTTCAGTTCCCATCTCGTTATTTGAATCGCAGAGTCAGGACGACAGCAACAAGAACCACGGCCAGCATGAGCAACTCGATATCCCCAACACTGACAGGCCTAGCGATCTCGATGTCGAAATAGCTCCCTCTAACAATACCACCGCTAACAACAACAATAGCAACGACCACAATAAAAGTCCTACCTCCTCGTCCTCCTCGCTCAAAAACCGCCTACGGGCCTACCATGCCGCTCGAGAAGGGACCTTTGACGCCTGGAGCGAAGTGGCTCTGGTATCGGCGGGGAACAACCACACGGAGGAGGAGGTTGAGCTGTGATATCAGCATCGACGGCATCCACTGTACATTACTGCCCCTTCTTCTTCTACATCATATTCTTCGAATTTTATTATTTCCGTCTGAAGGTCATCACAGAAAAAAAAAGGGTTAGGTGGATGGTTGGTTGGTACCAGTCTTGACAGCATGCATGATGATACCCAGCAGACTATCAGGCTGTTTGTTTCCCTTTTCCATCTTCTGATTTAGGAATTTATTTCGGGACTTTCATATTTGATTCATCATTTAGGAAAGTTGTTTTTTTTTCTTTTTGTGCAGACCAGATCAATCAGGCCGGGGTGCAAGAAACAAATCAAGGAAAAATTTCCTCCACCCTCCCACCCTTCCCCCCCCCTTTTTTTCCTCTTGTATTGTAGCTTATCTACTTATTTATTTAATTAATTTACCATCATTGTTCATTCGAAAATAGGATCTTCGTAGCCCTCAATCCTCCCCCGAACCCTCACCGGGATCTTTGGGACCCCGAGTCCCCCGTCGCCAAAGATGTCATCTTCGAGTTTGAAGACCTGAGGTCTGCAGACATTGATCTTGACTGGCATTACTCCTGTCTAATGGCAGAAGATCTTCTTTAAAAAAAATATCACGCGTCTATGGAATCGACAGAGATTCATGGGACTCTTTTATTAAAATAAAAGACACAAAAACTCTCTTCCTCTTTCGGCCGATTGACGACCCGGAAGATGGGACCTTCAAAGCGTCAGCGAATCAGTCGACTTGGACTCTAAAAAGAACGCATCAAGGAGCAACGAAGGGTCAGACTATCGACTTACTTTGTTAATTAATTGCTGAGAAATAATACCGGATCCCAGGAGTTCGAACCTTTGCCCATGAAGCAAACGGATGATAGATACCCGAGATAAAAGGAAGAAAGATGGAATCAGATCGACACAAGACCAGATTTCTCCTCTATTCATTTCTTCCTAGTTACTAAATAGACATAGAAGCTAGGATGGATTATGTAAAGGTTAGACTTCGAGAAAGGATCGAGGTCTGAAAATAATTAGCATTCTCAATATTATTGATGAGCTCTTTTACACACTGCGGCTTGGCCGAAGTCTGCTTTGGTCCATCGATGATTGGACGGTGAGGTGAAAACATAGGAGTATCCTGGAGAGAGATTCCTCATGGCCAGAGGTTCCGAATGGAAGAAGCTCCGCATAGAAATAGATCCACATCGACGAAGCTTGCTAATACGATCTAACTTGGCTGCTATCCAATTTTGCTGCAATCTGATCTCGTCGATACACTCTAATTGGTTGACTTATAAACCAACGAGGCTAAAAGAACATAGATTGAGGACCCAGAACCCAGCCCTGCTTTAACTAATTTCTTTCTTAGAATATTTTCTCTACCGGATTCCTCAAAATCCTACTAGACTTGGCTGCCTCTTCTGAGATTCTTTGCTGGTCTCATCTTAGCCTGCGCGCAGGTTCTATATCTGTTAAGAGGGACGAGCCAGTGCAGAGAAATAGTTTTACATAGAGTCTAACCAGAGATCTGTAACAGGGCTCGGGGGCCATGCACGACATTCCCGTTTAAAAAGTCTGGTGGGCCAGATGGACAATTCCGAGAAACTAATTGGTTCAATTAGGCATAAAAAAGGTATACTCTTCAGGGATTCAGTAGTTAACTAGTTATCTGTTATTGAGACATCTTAATCATAACCGTCTCTTCAGTTTAGGAAGTAAGTGCCGATGTTCGACACTGTCTTCCGACAATTTCCTTTTTTTATATCAGGCTGAGAACTCTGGTATGTCTAAATCGTTACGTCTGGCTTTTTTTTTACGGTAGATATTTTAAGAGAGCTCAATGGGCATGGTAGCCATCTAACTCCTTAATTTGATCGTGCCTGCACTAAAAACAATATCATACCAGTTTATATGCCGCATTATTTACCTCATCTCCTGTAGCCTCTTAATGTCAGTTGTTTTGGAGTTTTGAAGCAATCATATGGCTATATTATAGAAGACCATATGCAAAATGCGAAATAATAGGGGCCATGAAAATGGCGAGAAAAAAAATGATGACCAGACTGGGGTTCGATCCCAGGACCTCATCGGGTTAACCCGAGCTCTTTATGAGCCCGCATGTTAACGATGCGTGATAACCAACTACACCATCCGGCCATGTCTTTGTTGCAGAGACAACGAAAGTTGTGGTTGATGATTTTTTCACCAGTGTCTTGAGGCTAATAATAATGGTTTGAGAGGCAAAAAGCAGACTTCGCATACGGAGTAGTAGTAGTTTATGCATCAAATACGTATTGGTGGACATAAGACTAGGGCATGTGTATGGCTTTCTATATATATCTGAACAAGCCGCTGCTGCTGTATATAGCATTTTAAGAGCAACACTACCACAGATAAGCCAGTAATTTAAATTAACGCGACAGCCACGATTTTTTTTTAAAAAAAAAAAGCACAAAATTAGGCTCTTTTAATAAGAATTTCCTTATAAATTGGTATAAAAGTAAAATCTTTAAGGATTTCTGCCCTCACATAAGTGTATACATAAGAAATGGCCTCCCAAATTATACTCTTGTGCGGCGACTTTGTAAAGTTAGAAAAAATGGGTTATATACTACTTTATTTAACGCAACCTAGGCATTGCTTTATATATAAAAGAAAGGATTAATGCTTTTTATAAAGAAACGTTATTAAAGCCTTTTATGACTCTTTAATTATATATAACGCAATTACTATGTCAAAAGCATCATCAAGGACTCGTTCGCCACATTTTGCACATTTTCGCCGCATAATATTATATGGCTCCACGCCTGGAATGATGAGATCCCGGACTTTTGTTTGCCTTGTTTTTAGATTCTGGAGATATACCAAGTTACCACCTTAAGAACAACCTGCATAAAAGGGTTCGACCACGTGAGTCATCCTCAATTGGCGACAGAAGATGACACGCCGTGATCAACTCATCTTTGGATGAGATAGGCTTCTGGTCGATCTTTAGCCCATGCTGCTGCTGAATCCATGTGACGAGCGGATCAGGGATCTCATCCCATTCCGAGATTTCGTCACAATCAGATGTGACATTAGACAGAAGCTCTATTTGGGCTATACTGCGAAGAGTTGTTCCAGTTCCTAAGACCTGTCCAGCAGCCTCAAGCAAAGACTGAACCATGTGGATGAATTGATGATAACGTCGTAAAGACTTATTTAATGCAAGCATTAGGAAGTCTGTATAATGAATTATTTGAAGGAAAATTCTTACCTCCTTCTGTGTATTTCCTTTAATTTTTTCTGATAATGTCGACTGATTTAATGCCAAATCACTTTGGGTCTTATTTTCAACCTCCGCCTCTTTTGCAAAAGTCTTTGCAGATGATTCAATCTCCTGGTATCTCTGGGGAAAAGCTGTCTTAATTGAGCATATGCATCAGCTTCTAGTTTGTTGACTAGCTCGCTATCAATTTTTTGAATTGTCCATAAAGGGCTGGTCGATGAATGATCTCGTAGAAATTCTGTCTGATCGTAATACCACCCAACTTACTAGAAACTGTCAGGTAAAGGTCTTGTTTTCTTGCCTTAGTTTCTCTGAACTGGACGCCACTTTTAGTATAGTGTCCATGATAAAAGAAAAACTGGGGATGGGCAACAAATAGAATAAACCGAACAATACTGCAGTTCTCAATCTCCAAAAAAAAGCTCCACATCATTGAATTTTCCCCAGAGTTTGATGGGAACAAGGTTCAAAAGTTGCTTCATTCTTTCGCGTACAGGCTTTCCCCAGCAGATTTCGACTTTTGCAGCCATTTCTTTTCTTAAAGAGAGCATAAAATACTCGTAGATTTTGGTGATGTCCTTAATCACGTCGACAGATATGATCATAGATAAAGCAGTTCTGTGATGAGAAACCAGCCTGGTTGATCTGTTGTATGGTCGGGTTTGAGCTATTTTCTGTTTCCTGACAATAGGGGTTTTCCCACGTAGAATGTAGGATTATGGAGGTGACATGCAACAAGAGCCTTCATGTCTCCACTGGGATGGAGTAACAGTTCCCGAGGTCTTTCTACTCCAAGAAGCCTCCATGCCTCTATTTCTCGTTCCGTAAAATCCAAAAATGCCTTCTTGAGGTCGTATTTGATATCTATTAGACATTTGGAGTTAGCTTTGTAATTTAGTAGCAAAATAATTATGATCTGACCTTTCTGTTGGTACTAGAGTTTGCGGATGAGGGGCTCAAGGGTCTTGAGTCTTGCTAAATCCCCATCGCTGTGGTATTTCTCAGGTGGTTCCAGCCAGAGGTCACCGAAAAAGTGGTAGGTGTGTGCGATCTCCATCGTGGTTCTGAGGGGGATCGTAAGGCTGTATCTGCTTCAAGAGATTGGCATAAGGCTCGGATTTGGATCCTTCAATTGACGCTGTGTTGAAGAGGTTGTGGCTTTTTGTCGGTTGCAGAAAGTAAAGTGACAATATGATAACCGTTGGCCTAGGAAGCGAACATGAGGAGAGGAGGAAGAAGAGGAAGAAAAGGAATCGATAGGTTGGGAGGTCTATTATATAGAATTCCTGCCTCGGAGCCTTCCTCATCCTCGTGCCTATTCGTCTAACTCATTCTCTAGTTCACAGGAATCTTCCGGTATCGAGTGGCAGGAGCCCTTGTGACACGGAAAATACCGCCAAGCTAGAGGCATTATTCTGTGAGTGGAGCACAAGCCCGTAAGACTCAGCATGCAAAGTCTTCTGCGCGTGAGATTCATGGCTATAGTTCGCTGTGGTCAGATCATCATCAGTCCCACTGTTTCCGCGTCGCGATGGTTTGAAGCCGTTGGCTTTGTAACCTGCTATTTAGTGCATTATCGATGATACAGCAGGCGAGCTGAATGCTATCAATGTGTCGCATTGAGAAAGATTTAGCCGAACATCATCGCCTGACGCAATGTTCAGATTACTTGATAAAAATTGCGTTCAGTATCGGGCCCAACAAAAGCCGGCATTCTGTCAAAAAGGCAGCTTTGGTAATATCAAGGGCTTGCGATGAATCTATGATTTCAGCCCTTATCACTTCCAGCTTGTGAGGAGAGCACTGAACTTTACTATCACAGTATTGTTTTCATTTGAGTAGTTTGGTAAGATGTGTTGGAAAGCCACGAGCTGCTTCCCGTTTGGGGTGTGATAAACCCAATCTCATTTGCTAGAGGAACGGTATGAGGTGGTTAAATACAGAAAGACCAAGCTGGGGAAGGAAGAAAGAGGAAAGAAATGTAGGAATGAGGCCTGCGGGGTGGAAATATTGAAAATACTGCCAGGCAGAATTTCCCCGCTTCCTCTACCGCCTTCCACACCGTCTACGTGAAACCTTCCTAGAAACGCGCATCCGAGACATCTGGCTGTGGACCGTCACATGGGGCACGTAATTCCCAGACGACCCGGCTACCTTCAATACCTATCAAGACCTTGCAGCAAAGATAAAATGCGTTGATTCGTGCTATCTACTCTATCTGAGAAAGGCAGAATCGACGAGAGAGAGAAGGAGAAGAAGAAGAAATTGAGAGGCGTAGACTCGAAGAGAGATAGCTATGTGGGTCAGGCAAAGCGAGGTGTCACGTGAGGCTAGATCATGTGACCTGAGAACCACGCTCCGCCAGCCGGGTCAGTGCCGGGAGCTGACAATACCTATACAAAATGTGATTTTTTGCAACCCCCATATATAGAATATCTTAGCTTTTCTGAAATTATGTTATATATAAGTGTAATTGCCTATAAGTAAAATATAAAGTAAATATAAAAGATATTATTTTTAGAGTACCTATTTTATTTTTTTTACAAAAATTATAATATATTTTATATGACTATAGTAATAAAGCTAGCAGGCTAGTTAAAAATAAAGATACTCATTATAAATATGTTATAATTTTAGTATATTAAATATCTATTTAATATCTTTAAAGGTTGTTGAGATATAGTGGTTGTAAGACATCACATTTTGTATGGCGTGGCCGGGTCGTCTGGGAATTACATACGCTAACGTAACTCATGGCCGCCACCCAACCACACCCGCGAATACTATATAGAAACTGAAACTGCATTATCTACCCAAAACGGCAATTATTTACAAAAATCACAAATTAGAGCGATTGGGGCATTGAATCCTTATATGCCCAATAGTTCTGCAATCACTACACCTTGGCAGTGCGCGCGTACGAGGTGCAGGAGCCGCCTCTACGGCCGCAGCGGCCGGAGTGTCTATAGCCTCCGGCACCTGATTTTCATCCAAAATTCGACACTAAGGTCCCGCGCTTCTTGGACTGAAAACTCCTAATGTATGTATTTATATATGTACTGTAGAGTACATTGAAAGCCATACTCATGCCCTAGTCTTATGTCCTCCAGTACGTATTTGCTGCGTGGCTATCTCCTACTATGCAAAGTCTGCTTTTTTGCCTTTCGCTTCGGACCATTATTAATTGTCCTCGGGCACAGGTGAAAAGCTTTATCAATCACAGCAAGCTTCTCTTTTTCAACAATCAGTTGGCCGGATGGTGTAGCTGGTTATCACGCATCGTTAACATGCGAGCTCGAAAAGAGCTCGGGTTAACCCGATGAGGTCCTGGGTTCGAGTCCCAGTCTGGTCAACATTCTTTTTTTCCTTCTCTTCTTCATGTTCCCTTACTGTTTTTCCTCCGAAAAATTTTTAGTTATTCTTCGGTGGCGAATAGTGGGGAAAGTGGGGATGGATATTCGTGGTGATTATAATAACTACCTAAAAGGACCAACTAAAAGTAACTTAACAACTTTTTAATATTAATTAATAATATTAGAGATCTCAATTTATTGCTTTTTTTTTACTATCTCTAATTAGTCTTATTCTTTTTTTTTCTTTGAAATATATCTCCTTATCTTAATATTTCTTAAGGTAAAGAGAGAATTCTATAATATTCTCCTAAAGTATGGGTCGACTTGGATTTCCAAATTCCAAATGCAGCGCCTGGCCGCTATGTACCATACCACCACTGCGGCTCATACATGGATCGACCGCCCCAAAGAGTAAGAAATTTCCATCCTTAGCTCGACGTTTTCAAATGTATGCAGTTCGCTCCCTGCGACAAGGACAGCAGAAAATGTTCTTGTCCGCCGCTGCTCTGGATGCTGATGTTCTTAGCATTGAGAACAGCAAGTCTGACGCGAAGGTGGTCTTCGCTGACGAGGCCTACCTATCCTCGCCACATTATTGGTCCGGGTGTCTACGACATCCACTCTCCTCGTGTTCCCAGCGAGCAGATCAAGGACCGCATTCTGTTTCTTCGCTTCCTCTAAAAAAAAATTAAAAAGTTCGATTTGGTATTCCCTTGGATCGGTAATGACTGATACAAAGTCCTGCTCCGCGACGACCTGTGTCAGTAAACCCTGGGCAAGGCCGACCGTGGCCAGACCACTGCCCCAATTGAACACCTGGAATTAAAAAAATAAATGAAAGGAACAAAAAGAAAAAAGAAAAAAAGAAAAAAGAAAAAAAAGAAACTGGGCGACCATTTATTCCCTGGAAGAAATTACTGATCCTAAGGGGGGAAGGTTGTTTCCCAATTTCAAAACCCTACAACGACGTCTGGAAAGCACCGCTTACAACAAAGAAGATCACTGAACCGTACCTAGAGAATGGTCCTCTGGCGTCCGATTAAGGCTAATTTAATATATATTATTATAGGGTAACTTAATGTGAGGAAGGTAGGTACGGTCCCTAGGGTATAGAGTGGTCCACAATACCTACGGATCCTTCGGCGAGGGTCCGGTAGAGCGTGACAGAATAGTAGAAGATGCAACGGTATTCGTTCAGTCTATCTAAGCCTGATTTCTTTCATATGGAGGGAGACATTTCGAGACCTTCTAACCTTTTTCTACTTAATTTCCATAGAAAGGAGATGGGGAAAGGGGTAAAAAAAAGGAACCGGTATAGAGGGACTATTTCGACTACTACTTCGTAGGCAGGCGGGCTAGTAATCGAGAAATTATCATTGGACCAGTCATTCATTATTATAGTTAACACGAGGTCTGTTTTCGACAGAGGTAATTCGAAAACTCAAAAAAAAAGGTCATAAATGAATGACAATTCATAACCGGCATGTTATTTAACTTCCATATATTGCGTGTATATATGGACGGGATTTCCTCTGGATGAATGTCTGCTCAGAAGACAGAAATCAGATATTGAGATTGAGATTGAGATCGAGATCGAGATCCAGTGTCATAGAGGGTCAAAATCAATCTATCAACCAACCAACACCGTACGGATCTTCAGTAAACGAAGAATTCCTGCGTAAGAGGAAGCGTAGACGCCGGTTCGGCGGTGCAGTGCTTGCCGTCTGCTTCGACAACCTAGACATTTTGATGTAAGTATGTATCGTATCAAAATGGTCTATCTTCAGGACCATCCATCCACAGGTGTTGGTGGGTTGGTACTCACATAACTCTCCGGATCCACCCTCATCTTCGGCATCACGTCGTTGTACTTCATGTCCTTCTTGCCGATGTTGCGGCAGTTCTTGACGGCTTCGACCCGTCTCCGCAGATTGTACGATTGGATCACGCCCTGGTCGATGGAGGCTTGGGAGACGAATGTGATTGATGCGCTGGGGAGAGAGGCCTAGAAATCAATCAGTACCAGAAACCTCCATGCTATACGGTAGTATTGATCGGATACTTACTCCGAATTGAGGTCTCATGATTATAGGCTCGACGGTCGGTATAGAGGCATTGGGATCTCCCTAATCAAAAAGTTAGTGACATACGTATAACAACTTTGATCTATAGTAGTACCATCTGCGCAACGGCGATCATGCCACTCTTCAGCACCATCACCGGCTTCGTGCCGAACGTGCTGGGCTGCCACAGCACCAAATCGGCTACCTTGCCCACCTCGACGCTTCCGATGACGTGCGACATGCCCTGTGCAATAGCCGGGTTGATCGTGTACTTGCTGATGTACCGCTTCACGCGGAAGTTGTCCGCTCCCGTCCCCTCGTCCTCTGGCAGCGGACCGCGCTGCATCTTGTTCTTGTGCGCGGTGTTCCATGTCCGTAAGATCACCTCCCCGCAGCGTCCCATTGCCTGCGAGTCTGACGACATCATGCTTATCGCTCCCAGGTCGTGCAGGACATCCTCCGCCGCTATCGTCTCAGCGCGGATTCGACTTTCCGCAAAGGCGACATCTTCGGGGATGTTCTTTGACAGGTGGTGGCAGACCATGAGCATGTCGAGATGCTCGTCCAGAGTGTTCAATGTGAAGGGCCGGGTTGGGTTGGTGCTACTAGGCAGCACATTGTTGTGTTCGACCACGGAGATAATGTCTGGCGCGTGTCCGCCACCGGCTCCTTCGGTGTGATACGTGTGGATCGTCCGGTTTTTGAACGCTTTGATCGTTTGTTCCACGAAACCGGATTCGTTGAGCGTATCCGTATGGATCATACACTGAACATCGAACTCGTCGCACACCTCGAGACACGTATCAATCGCAGCAGGAGTGCTCCCCCAATCTTCGTGCAATTTCAATCCAGCGGCACCGGCGATGCATTGCTCTCGAATGCTCTCTTTGCCGCTATCATTGCCTTTCCCAGTGATACCGATGTTGATCGGGAGGGAATCACACGCCTGGATCATCTGGCGCATGTGAGTCGGACCCGGCGTGCAGGTGGTCGCATTGGTGCCAGTGCTGGGACCGGTTCCGCCACCCAGCAGGGTTGTAATACCTGAAGAAAGCGCCTCGTTCACCTGCTGAGGACAAATGAAGTGGATGTGGGTGTCCAAACCGCCGGCGGTCACGATTTTGTTCTCCCCAGCAATCACGTCGGTGGAAGATCCGATCACCAGGTCCGGGTGAACGCCATCCATCACATCCGGATTGCCCGCCTTGCCAATTCCAACAATGTTACCGTTTTTGATGCCGATATCAGCTTTGTATATTCCGCTCCAGTCGACCACCAGCGCATTTGTGATGACCGTGTCCACACATTCTGCGGCACTTCGCCCAGAGGCCTGGCCCATTCCTTCCCGCAAGGATTTGCCTCCTCCGAAAGTGCATTCGTCGCCGTAGACAGTCAGGTCCTTTTCGACTTTGATCCAAAGATTTGTTGCCCCGAGTCTGACGAGATCCCCGGTAGTGGGGCCATACATGCGGACATATGCTTCCCTTTCCATGGAAAAGGCACTGGTACTGATTAGAGAGCTGTCAGCCGTGGGCTCGGGAACATGTGCAAATCCTGCCTGCTGCAGTCGTTGTATAATCTCTTCGGTTCGACCCAGATCGACTTTTCCGGGCGCGATGAAGTTGCCCCCGCTGATTATCTTATTGCCCCCAATTTCCACGAGAGTGACGGTTTTAGTATCTCCTGGTTCAAACCGGACCGATGTTCCCGCGGGTATATCCAATCGGTACCCATAAGCCTTGATGCGATCAAAGTGGAGCTCTGGGTTGGTTTCTATGAAGTGGTAATGAGATCCAACCTGGGAATTGTCAATGGGATATTCGCGCAGCCGCGCTGCATAGATTAAGAGAGAATACGAAGGTCAAATTTAACTGCATACCTGAATCGGTCTGTCGCCCTTGCTCATGACTTTGAGCTTGATTCGTTTCCGGCCTTCATTTAACGAGATCCGGTCCTTGACCGCTATGACCGCACCAGGCACCTTGTGCGGTTCATAATCGGCAGGGTCTGGGTCAGGGAAAGCCTCCTTTGGTGGTACCGGCAGGAAACTGCCATAAAGAGCCTTTTCTGGGTCTCCATCGTCGGTGCTGATGGGGTTGTGAACGGTAACAAGGTACGTGCCAGTCGGGAAGGTACCCTCAACTTGGAGTTCTGAGAGACTCGATACGACGGAGGGGAGAACGTGACGACGACCGAGCATGGTCTTGCCGATTGACATGAGATCGGCGACTGTGTAGTTTCCATCGCGGATCAGCTTAAGCTTGGAGTCAGCAGACAAGTTTCATGAAGCCTGTTTTAAGTTGGGAGGATGCAAGAGAGCACATACTTCCTGGAGATTGGAGGATATCAAAGCCTATGTCGAATCAGCATGCCTGGCCAATTTTTTTCTTCCTGTGATATTCAGCAGGATAAGAAGCAGTGTACTGCCGTGACAATAATAGAAGGGATATCTGGCAGTAATGTAGGGGAAAGATCACATGCTGAAGTAGAGAAATACATACAACAGCTTCAGCATGGTTTAACCGCACTCCTCGTGCAAGACGGCGTTGAGCAAGAAATCCCAGCTGGGATATGGCTAGCTTATCGAGCTGTAACGAAATTGTTTCCGTTAGCGCAGAACACCCAATCTCCAATGCTTTGCTTAACGGCCCGTCTCTCGCCCTATATGGACTGTCTCGATTCTCGGAAGAACAAGCAGGCCAATCAAGGTGATATCGACTACAATTCCTCTCGAGCGTTGCAGTCCGTATCACAAGTCTCATATCCGTTCAATTGAACTCTAATGGCTCCACGTACCTCCTTAGGAATGAGCTGCATGTTGATACAGCTCGCTGGCGATGCTCCGCCCTAGAAGCGTAACCCAGCTCAAAGAGCCAAGCTCAATGGAAACAATGTCAGACAAAATGCCAAGGGAGAGAAACTTGAATATGAATTCCCCAAGAGAGGCTCAGGAGACAATTGTCCGACACTGGTCTGCAAGGGACGGGTAAATTAATAGTCGACTGGACAGAGAAAAGTCTGGGGAGTCTGCTGCAGAGGGTGGGGTAACGGGGAGGCCCGCGTGCTGCTGATAAGATAGAGACCCGGCCACTAGGATCTCGTGCATCGATCCATGACATGCTAATCGATTTGCTAACTCGACAGTGCGTGTACGGTACCTACCTAGTCATTTATATACCTGAGTCAACAGTGGCATATAGTCAATTGATAAGGAAGGACAAGATTACAGATAGAGGTAATTGGCAATGGCAAACCTTCCACCCGGCACCATGTGTTCAAGAACGCATCACAAACTGTTTGTCCTTCCATGATCTCCCATCTGATCGGAATAGCTGAAGACAATCTCAGATTGTCGCGACGAGCCATTCGTATAAAAATGCAAGCAAGAGACATACGCCGTCAAAGACGCTGCTGTTCTGATCCCGATCGTTATATAGAGTCATGTCGATAATTTAGAGCGACTTCGCAACTCGTCTCGTATTTTTTTTTTAGGTAAACAGAAACTGATTGATTGATGGATGGACGAGTAGTCTCGTTACCGCGTGCAAAAATGGATCGAGGTCATGGGTTCGGCGCTTAGCTGGCAGCGGGCCCAGCCTAGCGGATTGTTTGCCCCGCCAAGTCGTGTGACCGCGGACGCGTAGCGAGCATCAGTACTGAGTGCTACTAGCCTTCTATCAAGCTGACAAGCCAAATCAAAGAAACCAAATTCAAACTATTTCACACAGGCATACAGACATACAGACATACAGGACCCCAGACCGTTCTGCAAAACCACAAATCGCGTTGCCAGCCGAATACGAGAAAAGACCCGATTCCTCCAACAACTCCTTGTCATCAACCAACGCATTGCAGAACATCACAAGATCGCAAGCAAAGAACAGACATATACAATATATTCACAGACAGCAAG